AGCCCTAGCATCACTTTGGCCATATTACTGTCTTAAAAGCTCTCTGAGCTTTATTCCACGTGGGCCCCAATATTGCTGTCCTGCAGAGAACAGTGCAGGGCAGAAAGATGCAACACAGTTGGAAGATATCAGCTGAAATGGAAGACCCACAGCTAACTCTGTATCAATAGGCAATTACCAGTAGCCAAGCTCGGGCAATGAAATGCAATCAGAGGCAGAGAAATATAGCGGATTTATGTCTCTGCTATACAGCTCGGAGCTTGCTGCTCCAACAGAACGAAACATACACATCTGTGTGGCTCCATCACCTTCACTGAGTAGAGATAATTTCAATAAGGAGGAAGGGATGAGCAGCAGTTGATTTCGGAGAGGGGGGAGTTGTAGAAATATGTTTACAATTTCTTTGCATCACAGTTATTTTCTTTTCGCCAAAAGATCCGAACAGAATATCAGGGGAAAGAGTAGGGTTGTTTTGTTATTTAAGTTAAGCAGAATGTGTTGGGAGTAACATAAGAATAGGAATAGACAATCTGTCTCTTAGACTATTCCACTGCTACTTCCTAGCCCCTGCTTGGACACATTTTGGAGGTCCCAAGTCACAAGGTGGTTAGATTAGTCTCAACTAGGGCCAGGGCCTTTTCAGTACTGGCCCCGACTTGGTGGAACGCTCTGTCACAAGATACTAGGGCCCTGCGGGACTTGACATCTTTCTGCAGGGCCTGCAAGACAGAGCTGTTCCACCTGGCCTTTGGTTTGGACTCAGTCTGACCCTTATGTTTCCCTCCCCTTATGGTTTTGATCTATGGGCTACTTTTAAAATGAAGCTGCATTTTAAATTGCATTTTAACCTGTATTTTAAATTGTCCCCCCCCATTATGTTTTTACTGAAATTTTATTGGTGTTAGCTGCCCTGAGCCATCATCATCATCATCATCATTTTGAACCAGCTCCTTGATGCATTCCAATCACACACACGTCTATGGCTCCTTGGAAGGCATCTCATTCCATGTTCTCTATTGCAAGAACCAGGGAAATAGGGAAATTAAAGAGAGATCAAGCGAAAGGAAGACACCGAAAATATGCTGTACAAATAGATGGCCTTTTAACAGAACTATAATTTTCTACACAGGCTGGCATTTTATGTATGTCATAACCTTGCTTTATTTTTGTTACATGCAAAAGCCATTTCAATAATATAGAAACCGCCCCCTCTTTCCATTTAATAATCACAAATATGGTATTAATGCTACAGTTGCTTATAATTACTGCCCATCAAAGTCTGTTTTTCTTCCTCTGGTGTTCTTTCATAACCAGTCCACCTAATAGCTTTGCTGTGCTATTATGTGCATGTGCCTTTTCCTTCCTAAGGTCAAACAATCTTGGTTTTAAACACACGTATCAAATTAAAACAAAAAAACAAAAACCAGATACGTCAACCCCAATTTGGTCAATAGGATTTAGATGATAAATAAAGATGTCCACAAAATCAGATTAAATAATCAACCTAATATTTTCACTTGACAAACCATCAGGGATGTCATGATAGTCTACCAGGATCAAGTTCAAATGTAGATGTTGACATTTCACTAGTGCAAACAAGTATCCTGATCCCCCCCCATATTTTAGTTGTTTACTTTTTAATTACATTTATATCCCATCTTTCCTCCAAAGATGTTCAGACACTAGTGCAAGCTCAAAGAAAACCAAGGTAAGGTGTCACAGAATACATGAATCAGAATACAATTCTGATGTCTGACGTCACAATGTTGCTCTCAGCATTCTGATGGTCGTTCAAATCTGCATTCTCACGTACAGGCAGAATAATCTGTCAACACACACGTGCTACCTCACAGCTTAATGCACATTAGTTTCTCTAAATCTCTCTTTGGGGGGGGGGGGAGTGACGCCAAAAACCTGTGTGAACATAAGTTGCTTCAGGGAGAAAAAGACATTCTGCAGACTTTCTGTGGATATCCAAGACCAGAGAAGACAAAGCAGAAAATTCCACAGAAATGAAGGGGCAGGATTTGCAGATCTCCATGCGCTGTGAACACATGAAAACCAAGCCCAGGCTATCAACAACTTTGAGGCTTGAACCAAGACTAGTAATGCTACTTTTGGCTGTGTACGCAATGAAGTCTCAAAACTCAGAACGCAGAAGGAACAGAGTGTGGAAAACTACCCCTCGCAACTGGAGACAGTATGAAGCTATTGGCCACGGTGATCTCAAAATCACTTTGCCTCAATGGTAGGCTCTTCACAAACAGGTTGATTTAAGCTAGCTGCTGCCAACAGCTACCAACTTGTGTGACATACTAGTTCATCCTTTCCTTTACACCCTGCACATGTTCTCCCATCTCCCACTCCTGTGGAGTCATTTGCCTGGGTGCAAAAAGTAATTTCAGAGGTGAAGGCAATGGCCTTAATTTCTTTCACTTGAAAGAAAGAGAAAGAGAGAGTGTGTCTTCTTTGAAGCCCTGTTAGTGAAGTAACTATGTAGGGCTGTTAATTGTCTTTGAATCCCCACCAATTATCTAGTAAGGAAAAGACTGTAGAGAAAATAAAAGTATAGGTGGACCAGGAAAAGATAGAAAAAGTAGTATTAACAGATACCTACTGAAGAACTCACCAAACTTTATTCAAGTCTTCTTAAGAAAGAGTGTATGATGTCCCCACAGTGTATGAAATTCCCAGTGGATGGGGCATTTATGATTAGGCTAGATACAATGAAAATACTACAATATCATGCCCCCATGTATGGATAGGGAAGATAAGCATTGCTAAGTAGGATGGTTGCTATGTATCCACATGTAGAGACGTAGACTGAGTGTTCCTGTTACAGTGGTACAAGAGAAGCAAAACAAAAAGCAGTACTTTCCAAAATGTCAGATAGCTGCAAGCATACTTTGCTCTAAATTATAACTGGAAGCACACTTCACTCACTCAGTTTAAGACAACTCGCTGAAAGTAAACCCAAGAGACAGGCAAAGCCTCTTGCTTCTCAGCTACTCACTGCAGATTTCCATAGTCCGAGCCCATGAGGCAGGCCAATGCAGAAAAAACTCCAATGGAGCAGATTGCATGTCTAAATCCTTTTAATCTATTTGCAGTTGACACTGCTGATACATCATTTCCACACTTGACCCAGAGTCTCTTTTGAACTCCCAACTTCATTTGGTCTGGGGTGGCCTTGCATTATAGCTCAGTCACACCAGCTCAGAGGAGTTCACCACAGTCTTTTTGTCTTGTCACTTGTCTAAGTGTGTTACCTGACTGAAGATGCAACAAACAGCCACCTCCAAGGTTGCATTTCAGGGGTGGGGAGAGGATCTGGGGGTTGTTCACTTGTTACAGTCAACAAGTGTACACAAACAGTTGAGCTGTATGCTTGATCAGCTATTCACATTTAATGTTCAACAAGTTTACAACCTGTGTACCTGCGTACACAAAAGCTGAGCTGTACAAATCAACAGGGATGCACTCTTTCACACGAACAATTGCACATGTGCAGAGACAACTTGTAATTGTGTATGGTGTAATGTGTGAACAGCCTTCAATTGTATCCAAATGCAGTCACAGGTGAATCTCTCTCTCTCTCTCTCTCTCTCTCTCTCTCTCTCTCTCACACACACACACACACACTTAAATTTATGTGTTTCAAGTCACACAGTGTGCAGCACACTCATAGTTCTCTCCTGACACTCAGTCTGAAACTTCCCACTCTAAATAAACAAAGAGATAGATATGTTTCGGAGATGGAAACTGACTACTGGAAACTGAACCTGAACGAGTTTCAAAAAGCACACAGTAAAATCAAATGGGGACAGCAGGGGAGAAAAACAATGAAAATAAGTAACAGATTTGCTTCTCTGTGGAAATTTATTTGCATAATGACATCCCAGTGTGGAGGTTCAAAAACCGCAGTTCCCAGGCACTCTGCAGTTCCCACAACTGCAGCCGAGCTAAACGACTTTACATGTCTGAGCAGCAGCATACAACTAAACTTGAAACGGCAAAAAAAATGAGAGCTTTGAGATGGTGCCATCCATTCTGATTAGTATCAACGTCAATTCCCTTTGCCTTATTAAGAGTCTGAAGTGACTCAGAGGTATTTGTTTCCAATTCTCGTAATATGGAGCCTTTTAGGTCAACATGTTGGAACCATGGGGGTCTAAAAGAAATCCAATGTACAAAGACAGCCATATTTTGATTCCTCCCCTACAACCCTTATGTCCTCAACAAGCTTTCAAACATTTTTTTTAAAGTGTTTCTTTTTCCAAACTGTCAGCTGAAGACAGCCTTTTGACTGCCAGGATAAAACAGACCACAAAAAATGGCATAAGTTAAAACTACCTCTACATCAGTACTTGACAATAACAGTATTATTTATAGCTTCACAACATATCTATGGCCATGATGTTCCACAGATCTTTAGATCTTTGAATGTCAATATCACAGCAGTGAAATTGTTCCTTCATATTCTATTCCAACCACATGGCATTATTTAAATACCAATATAAAACCCTAGTGCCAGACTAGACCATTTCTTAGGGTAATATAAGCATAAGTAAGCTGCTGCTGCTGTGGTTGTTGTTGTTGTTGTTTTTACACAAACTGACAGTATTGAGGGGCAGGGAAGGACCAGATTAGGAATCAGAGGGGTAAAGGGATTCCCCCCCCCGCTACAGTCCTGAGTTCAATCAGGAGACCTCCATGCCAACAATTTGCATAAGGAAAAGACCATGCTACTGTTGAAGTGAATGGAAAAACATCAGGAAGAGGAAATGAAGGTAGACTCACATGCTCCTTCATATTCCTGCCTCAGTGAGAGATTTCCCCAAAGTGTGTTTGTGGTGTTCGTACGGAGCCCCTGGTCGTCTCACGGACTATTGACCCGTACACCACTAATCCGCTGCCACCAACCAGGCCCTCCCTGGTAAAATCACTTCAGTCTCAGTCAGGTTCTCAATTAATAAAGAGTGTATTTTATTTCAGTCACAAACAAACTTTTACGACATTCCAAACGTTGTTACTCTTTACTTTCTTAGTCTTATTTTCCTCTCTCTATCTCTTCTACCTCCCCTCACTCAAGAACCCACTGCCCTAACTGTCTCTCTATTTCCAACTGCCTGCCAACAGCTTCTCCAACTGCCTTTCCCAACCAGCCAAGCCACTAAAACCAACCAACTACCCACCAACAACTCTAACGAACCTCGAGCTAAGCCCTTTTATACACATGTAGGCTCTGTCTCCAGCTTTCCTATTGGTCTACATTTTTAATCCTTTCTTTTTCCCCTGTACAGACAGGCTCTAAACGAATGGGCAAACCCCACATCCTGCCTCAGTGAGAGATTTCCCCACAGTGTGTTATAATTTTCTTAAACCACACACACCATTTAAATTGTTAATGCAGGATTTTGATCTGAAGTAGCGCTCTCTCTCTGTGTGTGTGTGTGTGAGAGGGGGGGGGGGAGAGAGAGGGAGAGGGAAGAGTTTTTTAAACCCACAATTCTCCTAACCTACAACCACACCTTGCACTGTGTTGGACATTTGTGTTGAATTTCTGTTGAAAACAATAACAGTCTGCACTTAAGAGCACAGATACCGAGCTAACATATTGTCTAGTTTGGCCCTTAGCACAGCCACATTGTCTTTTATATGGTAACATAACTGACCAAGAAGATGTTGTCTTTAGTGGTTTAGTAAAAATTGTCTGGCACAACATTTACTAAACACTCTGTGGCAAAATTCCTGGCCTGCTTCTGTTGTCTATAGACCTCTAGCTTCAGGTCATCCTGCAGTAATTGCTTTCAGCAGAATCCCTGTTAAGCCCTAGGGCCTAGGGCATCTCCCTGCCAAATCTTCTTCTTGTCCACAAGCTGCTGCAGATTTCAATAAGCAATGGTGGCCACTCTAACCATATGATTCCACTGCTGCCCATCTTAAGAGGAGGAAAAGATGTTGCCCATTCCAGTGAGAGAGACACTAAGAAATGTGTCTTCATACACATGCTGCTGGCCTGAGGAGGAGAGGGTCTGGCCATTGTGACCTCATGTTGATCTCACTTAGCTGAAGGAAGAGTGGGCATTGTGACCTCATGCTGATGGTCAGAAGCCAGACTGGCCCATATGCCCTCCTGAAGGAGAGAGAGAAAGACACTGTGCCCCCTTTCCCATGTCTTGCCAAGCACCTCAACAAGCAAACCGGCCTTTTTCCGCTTTGTCAACAGGTTAGTGGCTGGAGGGTGGTAGTGGCGGTGGCACTGAGGTTCCTCATTCCTCTGCGTTTTTGAACTGAAAATATTACAGGGTCTGGAATGCCCTGGACTCCAGCAATTAAAGCAATTTGATTATTACTAATGTCCTCAGAAAACTGCTCACTCCCTATGGTCAGAAAAGGAGTACAGTTTGAGAGAAAATGGCTCCTCATTTTGCCCTGTCTCATCTGCTGCAGGTTGACTCTAGGATAGGACACAACTTGTTATTTACGCCTTATTTTGTACGCTGCTTTAGGTGGGAAATGTTGCAATATGCAATTGAATCTGAATAAATAATTCCAACCAAAATTAATCCAGCAACTATTAAGCATTTTTTCATACCAGAAGGGACATCCTAGTCAACAACACCCGCCCATCTGACTGGGTTGCCCCAGTAACTCTGAGTGATTCCAACGTATATAAAAACATAATAAAACATTTTAAAACTTCCCTATACAGGGCTGCCTTCAGATGTCTTTTGAAAGTTGTATATTTACTTATATTGGCTCAGGAGTTGCCTAAGTCCACACCCACCAACATTTCTCAGGTGAAAATAGGGACATCCTAAGAAAAAGTAGGACACTCTGAGATCAAATCAGAAATTGGGACGATAAATCTAGAACTGTCCCTGGAAAATAGGGACACTTTGAGGGTCTGTGAAAAACCTCACATATTCCAGAGTTTGTGTTGCTGCTGCTGCTGCTTTAAATCACTCTGAATATCAGAAATACCTAATATGACATCACCAAGCTGCTTTTGAAACTTTCTGTAATTTCAAAAGTAGTTTAACATACAAGCTGCTTGTTGACCCATCAGGCAAATAGTTGGAGTATAAATAAATAAACAACAACAATATTACTTGACATGCAATGGTGCTGTCCTGTAACACAGGCAACATGCTAAACTCCCCCCCCCACACACACTCCTCAATCACTTATCAACATGTCTGTAAATTATAAAGTGTCAACCCACAAAACGAGTGCAAAGGTCTCAAGGGAACGCACAATGTCTTGTTTGCATGGTCTAGGGATCACAGCCTATCCTAATTTTCTGATTCACAACCTATTAACTTGCAGGCCTGGTTTTTGTTTCCTGCAGAATGGCAAAACGTATAATCATTATACATTCAAGGCACCTCAACAAAACCTTTGCTTAGCTATGTGCATATTATTTAATTCCTCATGGCCCCCTTTTGAGGTTATTAATCTGGATGACTATTTGAAATAAACAACAGAAAATCAGCTCTGAGTATTACTCCTCCTGTCTTTGGGGCATTACAAGTCAATTGAACTGTCTAAATGAGTTATGCCTGGAATTAAAACATCCATGCCTTAGATTCCACCAGTGCAGCCCTGCGCCTTTAAGATAATCCTGCGACTGCAGAGTTGCACCTTCATTGGCAATTCATAACTCGCACTATGTTGTGTGTGCAAGCTTCAGTGCTTACAAAAATAGGAAGGGATTCAGCAAATTAAAATGTTTAGTAAACAAAGTTGTCCAAAGGGAAATCATTAGCAAAATCAGATCCTCTGAAGGTGCTCAGTGGAAAGTAAAATTGCTTCATTACATAAAACACTAGACACAGTGCATACTGAGTTCGACACCTGTCAGAGGGGTAGGCCAAAAGAGAAACAAAGGATTTCTTGCTCCGTAACAAAAACATATTGTTTGTCTCAGTGGGCAGTAAAACTTAGATATCATTATAGCTGTATGTGCAGGTCTAGAGAGAGGCTTATTTATTTATTTTATTTCGGCAAACTTTTCAAATGATTCCCCCCCCCCATAGACTTACATTAAAAAAATCCTAGAATATAAACAATAATAGAGTATACTGTATGCAGCAAATTAAAAGCATAAATTAATATTGAACAGGGGAAATGAAAAATTGTCTGGAAAACTCACTCTCCCCAAAACACTGGTTGTATTCAACTAAGTTTTACTCAGAACAGATCCATTGGAATTAATTAACGTGACTAAGTTAGTTCCATTGATTTAACTGGGTCTACTCTGAGCATAACTTAGTTGAATGCCTCCCTATATTAGTAGCCAAATGAAATGCAATTCTGCATTCACAAACACAGTATTCATGGTGTTCAGTAATTTATTACACTATATATAAAATATATCCCCAGACAGTTCAGGTGCATCTAGGCAACCCAAAAAAACAGACATTTGGCACATATAGGCTGTGCTTGAATGTAATGGTAATTGTTTTAGCATTCTGAAAATAAGCTGCAGGTGAAGTTTCACCCTCCTTTTGCAGCAGCAAAGAGACATTTGGATGTTTTTGCCTCCATTGCAGAGTAACTATAGCTTCTTATGACATGCAAACCCAGACGAATTCCCCAGTAAAATTCTATTTCCTATTCTAAAATACAGTATTTCTCATTTGGCAGTTGATCTTTGATAGTCGACATGCAACTGGTTTTAGTAACTGCAAGTTGGCATGCAATGGGATTTAGTATTCAAGTGTATTTTCTTGACTGCATGCAATGATAGTCAACATGCAATAGTAATTAGTATTTGATCGTTCACACGCACTTCTCTTTTTGTTAGGATGTGACTGCATTGCACTCAAGGCAGTTTACAACTTTATTTTATCCACATTTGTTGTACTACTGACATAATTCAACACGTGGGAGAAACAAAGACCCCCAACAAGTCACAAGTGCTCAAACTTTCATATTTTGAATGAAAATTTGACCTCAATATATAGCTTCCGAATTTGAATTGTTTTGAAATTTCATGTCCACAACAAACTTTCAGTGGCGGCGATTAGGAAGAACAAGTTGGAAGAAAATAAAAACACTAGTGGGCATTGCTAGAAAGACTTGAGCAAGATCATCCCCATCAAGGTTTTGGTCCAAAGTGATTGTCCAGCTATGGAGTTGTGTTCATTCTATACTGCAGCCATTCAGTAAACACAGGACCGCCCGCCCCCCCATTACATCAATCACAAAGATGCTGCCAGGAAAAGCTTCAGGGATCCCTGTCCTCTATATTTAGCACCATAGGGTTTGCCATCCCAGCATAGTGTGCCTTCATGTGATGGCATGAATCTAAGCCATGGGTCGGCAAACTAAGGCCCAGGGTCCGGATCTGGCCCAATTGCCTTCTGGATCCGGCCTGCGGGTGGTCTGGGAATCGCCGCGTGGATCGGCGTGGGGATTCTGATCATTTGGGCTGTACCATTTCCACCTCCCTCTCCCTTACACATACCGTGGCGGCCCTCCTCCCTCCCTCCTCCTGGCTTCTCTCTGTCCTGCCTAGAGGAGGAAGGAGGCTGGGTTTTGTTGAGCCGCAGTTGGCTGAGCTCCATTTTAAGCAGCCCCTCTCGGGAGCCAGCCCTTTCAGGCCACTCATTGTCCCTCCGCCACCGCCAGCCCCTGCCACTCGCAAGGCACAGGTAAGCAGCTACTGGGGCTTGTCCAGTGCTGTGGAGAAGGGAGGGGAGAGTCGGGGTGGATTTTTTTTCTTTCAAAATATAGTTCAGCCGCCGCCCCCCCCCCCAAGGTCTGAGGGACAGTGGACTGGCTCCCTGTGGAAACTTTTTGCTGGCCCCTGATCTAAGCAGTGAGAAACTGTAAATGTTCTCTTCTGGGTGAGGATTCCTCACTAAAGTACCGTATTTTTTGCTCTATAAGACTCACCTTTTCCCTCCTAAAAAGTAAGCGGAAATGTGTGTGCGTCTTATGGAGTGAATGCAGGCTGTGCATCTATCCCAGAAGCCAGAACAGCAAGAGGGATTGCTGCTTTCACTGCACAGCGATCCCTCTTGGTGTTCTGGCTTCTGAGATTCAGAATTTTTTTTTCTTGTTTTCCTCCGCCAAAAACTAGCTGCGTCTTGTGGTCTGGTGCGTCTTATAGAGCGAAAAATACGGTATTTCATGGCAGCATCCCAGTGGACAGCATATAGTCTGCTGATGATCGTGGTGTAACCCACCCAGGGATATAGTGAAAGGCAACTGGTAATAATTATAATCTGTAAGCTGCCCAGAGTGTCTGGGGAAACCCAGCCAGATGGGCAGGGTATAATAATAATAATAATAATAATAATAATTGCAATAATCATTTTTAGACTGTAAATGTGGGGGCAGAGACTGTGTTATTTTTCTTGATGTGTACCAGGGACTAAGAGCCTTTGCAGCTGAAAAGCACAATATAAATGCTTTGAATAAATAAATAACAAAATGTTTGTTGGCCGTCCTTGCCATACTTCTAGAAGAACTGTGTAGCTCTCCTTCCCTTCCCAAATCTTTGTCGGTGTCAGCCTAACAGATTGTGTTTTTTCTTCAGTGAAAGTTAACTAACCTTGCGATACTGGCTTGCCAATTAAGTGCTTTTCTCTATCCAGTAATGTCATTTCCGTTCCGTTTGACCTACATGTTGGAAGCAATCTTCTGTAACGTTATGCTTTGCACCGTTTCAAGTCGGGGTATACCAAAAAGGCAGACATGAAAAAAACTATATAGGATTGTTAGCATTCACCTCTAAGCATTTTATAAAGTGAGTAAAAAGATTTATTTTTTTCAGAAGGATGGAATGTCTGTTTGAATGTTTAAGATGATGTTAGCACTTTTTTCATTATATCATATTTTATTTCAGTATTGTAATCTACCTTGAGGGCCACTTCACCAGATAAAGACAAGATACAGTTAGTTGGTTAGTAAGTTAGTCGGTTAGTCAGTTAGTCAGTTAGTTAGTTAAAGTGATGTCCAACACTACGGCCACAACCCTACAGAATAGAAGGGGTGCTTAATTCCAATGATTTCAATGGTCTTAAGCAAACCTAACTTTGTGATGGCTTGTGGCCGAGATGGTAGCAATCCAAAAGACATGCACTTGCACTGATGTTTTGTAGGTGCACATTTTGCCTCCCATCCATTTTTTGTTCAGAGCCAACCCCAGGCACATGTGAAGCTTCTCCAAGACTTAAAAAAAAAACACAACGGTTTTGAGGATTGGGCACAAGCTTTTTAGAAGTTTATTAATCTGCATGTGCTATTTCTGTCCCACCCTCGGCCACATCCTCTGTACACAGTCAGCGTAATATGTTGGCCAGAATGCTAGACTTTTCCCAGAGAGACCAGCCTTCTCAATCATAAGCGCCATCCATCTCAGTATTGTCTGGACTGACAAGAGATACCAGGGACTGGATCTAGAACTTTCTACGTGTGAAGCATTTGCTCTACTAATGAGCAATGCCCCTTCCTCTCAGTTGAAACTCCTTCACATGGTTGCTGTGAGAATAAAATCACCAAGCGCCAACTATGCCACCCTGCTGGAAAGGATGATGATGGATGATAAAGCTCTTGTGCTATCAAAGCCTTCAAAAAAAAGAAGACCCTCAGGGACTTAATAAGAATTGAAATGGAATTTTAACAACAAGTTCTAATCAAATTGCATATTTGTTTCAGCAGAGTTAGATTACTCATCTTCAATCCACTTGGAAGAATCCACTTTAAAAAAAAAAAAAAAAAGCAAGGAGCCAGGACGGGGACATATAGGCAATCTATATTTAGCTTCTCAAAGTCATAACTTTGTGTTGCTTTACTTCACCCATTTTAAAACAATAACAGCAGCAGAGCTTTGAAGGAACTTCATATTTCAACTTTCATTTCTTCCCAGACAGGTGTTTTTTGTTTTGTTTTTTTAATTGTGCCCAATGGTAGATTTTTAAATGAGTTTCCCTAGGTGCTTGGACTCAGATTGGGGAAGTTGTTAAAAGCAACAACAAAAATAGTATATTTGGGGTTTTTGTTTTTGTCACTCAGTGTATTATTTCACCTCCAATTAGCTCCATTTTTACCATTCCAGTCTTATTGTGTGTACCAGAGGCTGCTTCACTTCACCAGCTGCCTCTGAAATAATGCATGCTGGAGGTTTGGAAAAAAAAAAGTTGCTCGCTATAAACTCCATTTAAAATCCTCATTTGAAAGCGACTTGCTGACAATGTCTTTTGTCAGTTGCATGGTTTTGTCCTTCACACTTTCTTTGAAATGCTGAGGAATGATGCACACATAACACAGAGAGTGTGTGTTTATACAGACAACCATTTCGCACAGGCACCCCCAAACTCAGCCCTCCAGATGTTTTGCGACTACAACTCCCATCATCCCTAGCTAACAGGACCAGTGGTTAGGGATGTGTGAATTGTAGTCCCAAAACATCTGGAGGGCTGAGTTTGGGGGTGCCTCATTTAGCAGGTGGGAACTTCCAATCTACATGAGAAACTAGGAAGCTTATGCAGTGGGAGGAGGAGAAGACCGGGGGTGAAGAAGGAGCCTTTCCCCATCCTCTGGAGCCTCCTGGGAAACCCAGCAAAACTGCTGTACCTGGAACTAAGTGTGGAGAGTGCAGGCAAATGGGACACAGCAGTGGGCAACCCTGAGGAAATACCATCCACCTTGGGCCTGTGGCATCCTGCCAAGCAGTAAGTAGAGTTTTACCACTCCTCTGCTAATCCATTTTTTTCCAGTTGGGTATGGATGTGTGGAGAAATTCTCCTCATTCGGCTGCATGACATAAACAAGCCGCTTGCCAAGCAGTTAAATGCACAGCATGGTAAACTGCTGCTTCCTAAATGATTGCCTGGGGATGCGGGTGGCACTGTGGGTTAAACCACAGAGCCAAGCGCTTACCAATCAGAAGGTCGGCAGTTCAAATCCCCGTGATGGGGTGAGCTCTCGTTGCTCGGTCCCTGCTCCTGCCAATCTAGCAGTTCGAAAGCATGTCAAAGTGCAAGTAGATAAATAGGTACCACTCCGGCGCGAAGGTAAATGGTGTTTCCATGCGCTGCTCTGGTTTGCCAGAAGTGGCCACATGACCCAGAAGCTGTACACTGGCTCCCTTGGCTAATAAAGCAAGATGAGCGCTACAACCCCAGAGTCGTCCGCGACTGGACCTAATGGTCAGGGGTCCCTTTACCTTTACCTAAATGATTGCCTGGCTTGGCCACAGGATTCAAGGAGACTCACAGACCTATGTAGATCTACTCAGCATTAACTCCTGTTGAGAGGAAAGGAAAGCCATGATCCCTACTGCTCACAAACATGCCAGCCAAACTGTATTGGTTGCGCTTCAGAAGCTATTTGACACAGAATCAGTGCTGTGTAGTGGTTAGAGTGAAGCTCACTGAGGGATCGCTGTCTCTCAACCCAACCCAACTCACAGGACTGCTGCAAGAACACAGTCAGGGCCGTCTTTACCCAGGGGTGCAAGTGGTGCAGGGCACCCAGGCGCCCAATTCGGGGGGGCTCCAGGCACCTGCTACTGAGCCCCCTAAGCTCTTAACTATCTACCTGTTATGAAATAATAAATAATTTTGATCAAGCTAGAAAAACAAAATACATATATACCTAGGTATTACCGAAATGTATATCTACTGTTTCACTAAAGGTCTTTCAACTTTGTGCACTCATTTATCAAAGATGTGCCGCACCAGCGGCGCTTGTCATTCACAACGGCGTGTTTTAATTTCAGCACTTACAGTTCAAATTCGTTTAGAGAAATCGTTAAAAAAATAATGTTAATTTTTGCTAATTGTTGGCATTTTCTTTGACTAACTACTTAGTACTTAGGGTTCTACTACACATGGGTTTCAGCACGTGATTTTAGCTTTCCATTTCTGCAAAAACGCGCCTAGAGCACACACTATGAATTCCGCAAGCTGCATTTTTTCTTCATTTTACGACAAATGCTAAGCGAGAAACACATTTCTTTTTTCTCCCTTCTTTTGAAAACAAGAGATAAGGCGTAAGCGTGGTGTCTGACATAAGCATAATAAAAGTTAATTTGGGGGCTAAACTAAATATGGGGGTGCTGGGCAGATCTTTGCACCCCAGCGGCACATATGCTAAAGATGGCCCTGAACACAGTCAATATTTATTCTCCTGTGTATACCACTTTGAGCTCCTAGGAGAAAATAAACAAGCTGTATGAACGGCTTGAAAATCCTGACTGGAAAATAAAAACCCACCGCCCAGCTGTACATATTCCTGTAGGAACTGTACAAGAAAGAGAGCTTTTTTTTTTTAGTTAGCAAACAGCAGCAGAACTGCTACAGCAACGGAACGGCGTGATTCTGCTAGACCCACCACTCAAAGGATGCAATTGCCCGAGTGAACATGCCAGAAATTTGGAAAGGAAAATGAAGTGTAACAACCTTGAAAATACAGCAAATAAAAGACAATTCATGGTTGATATTCATCCCTGCTGGCACTTAATCAATAGAATCCATAGCCTTATTAATACAACCAGTGCCAAGCATCTGCTGATAGAACACATTCACTGACTGAACACATAATGGCTATATTCATTTTTATTTAATTATTTCCTGCCAATATTGTACCACCTGTTGTTCTCCTTACTGAGAATAGGTAAAAACAACACACACAAACATAAAATCTGCTTGGAGGAATGCATTCACTTACGACGACGTTTTAACTGGATTGGGGGTGGGGGGCAGGAACCACCTGGCTTGTACTCAGTAGGTCCCATCTTAGGGCTGGTTCATGCACAAATGTTCCTCAGGCATTTTGGAATTCAAGGTCAAATATTAACATGTATTCATCACCTCTCCCCCATTATGAGATCCAGTCTTGCTTATTGAGTCAGAGCGATGTCGCTGCTTCTCTCTGCCTGAGAGATACTCTGTTTCCACCACCACCCTGTTGCTTCCACCTCACTGATTCTTTCTGCTCAGAAAGCATATGGACTGAGGTGGTTTGGAGAAAAGAAAGCTCTTCCCATCGACTCCTGCCCTAGGCTTAGCAGTAAGTCTGAGCTGGCTACAAATACAACCATTTCCTAAAGTGCCTATAAAGTTTTATGATAGGTTTAGTGAGTTAATGCTATAAATCGCCACGCTGCATGATTCAGAATAATTAATTTAATAAGTGTGTCGTATGAGGAAAGTAAATAAAGGGGGAGAAGTGAGTGATCAGTGAAGCATATAGGATTGAAAGGAAAAAAACAAAATCGCCAGCAAGCACAGAATATTAAAAGCTTGATGGATTTTTTTTTCTTCCTACCCTGCCCCAAATCTTCCTTGAGCTACTTCTTAAATTCCATACAGCAGCAATGTCCAGCTTCTTTGGTGGGGCATTCTGTTACCCCCAAACCAACCAGGGAACCAGAAATGTGCTTTGACATACTCTGCCCCTGTCATGGATGTTCATGATATTAGGTGTTCTTCAAGTTTGGGTCCCCAGATGTTGTTGAACTACTGGTCCTATCAGCCCCAGCCAGCCTAGCCAATGGTGAGGGATGATGAGAGATGTAGTTTGACAACATCTGGGGACCCAAGCTTGAAGAGCACTCTTATATAACATGAAAGTTGGCATTATCCAATAACTAAGGACTTCACAGGTATGGATCAACAGCACTCAGGTGGAATGAGACAGGAAAGTGCTTCCTGGAAAATCCATCGAAGAGGCAATTGGCAGCAGCCCATTGCATTTTCACAGGTGAGTATGTATACACACTCTAATGAAGTTTTTCTAAGCATCAAACAGCACTTCACACAAGCTTGCTTTGGATCCCTTTTGGGATTCAGTTAATCACTGAAATAATATATATGAGACTGTGATTAACAAAACTGATATTTAATTTCTGTTGCAAAACATTTCACCTTCTGCCTCCATCAGCTGCTCTGGTAAAAATGTAAGTATGCTATTGCCAAAGAAGCAGTTAACAGAGCAATATGGATAAAATGTTTGAATGGGCTTCATTTGCTTAAGGGAAATCATGTCAGCACTATCTTCCAGGCTGAGGCCACGTGTTTATCTAAGCATGCATACAAACCCTGAATCTAGCCATAGATCTGTGGGTCGTTAGAGGCCCCCAGAATTTGCTTCAGGGCATGCATCTGATCTACAGGCTGCCATTCAACCATTCTTTGCATATGCAGCCCACTAATTTTTGCTTTCATTCAAGGATGTCCTCTCAGATGGTCCATTTAGCACAACACAAGGATCCAGATCATAACAGTGGTAAATAGAAGGTACCATCTCAATCAACAGAAACTTCAGGGAGTAGATTCCAGAGGAGGTGCCCTTTCCTTGATTTTAATCTCAATTGTTCTGCCCCAAGATTAATGTAAAGGTTACAACAGCATCATGTTAGAGTAGCAATTAATGCAGGGTTAATGGTAGGCTAGAACAAGGGCATGCCATATATATATATAGGGGTACGCATACCCCTAAACATTTTGTGAATCTAAGTTTGGCCTCATTGAGGGGCAGTATTTCAATATGAGTAGGAAAATGAGACTACCTCTAAACATTTTTTTAAGAAAAAAAGCACCCTGTGCTAAAAGTAGTTTTTATCAATCTCTTTATCTCTTCATAAATCATGTTCCAAAATCTTTGTATCTCCAGACAGGACCACCACATATGGTAGTATGTTCCTATCTGTTCCTTACATTGCCAGCACTTGTTATTGTTTGATTTATTTATTTTTGCAAGTTTTACAGGGGTCAGGTACCACCTATAGTACATTTGCATAAGATTTTCCCTTATAAGGAAACAAGCCGCGAATTTTATATTTTTTAGTCCATAATTCATTCCAAATATCGGGTTTGATTGTATGTCCCAGGTCCCTCTCCCATTTTACTGTAATTTCTTTGATATCTTCCTCCTTTCTTTGCCAATTCAAAAGTAGTTTGTACATTTTTGAAAGTGTCTTTTGATTATTATATAAAATATCCTTCTCCAGATAGGATATTTTTTTGTCAAATCCTTTGGTTCTTTTATCCTTTTCAAGGGCGGCTTTTAGTTGATAGTACTCCAGCCAGGTGAACTGCTCTAAGACCTGTGGGTGTGGAGCATTATATAAATTTAATAAGTACTACTACTACTGGTACTACCACTCTAGCAATAAGAACTTCACTATTTAGAAACATTTGTGTTCAAAGCATACAGCGGACCTTTGTATTCAAAATCCAAAGAGTGCTATTAACTGTAAATTACAGGATCACTCATACAAGAACCATTTCATAAACTTTTTTTTTAGTGGAAATGTGAAAGAACTCTTCCAAATCATGAAGATAAAAGTTTGTGGTGGAGCAATGAAAGGATCAGGGGGCAAAAGTGTTTTGGAGGTTGACTCCACCATGTGATCTAACAGTCAGTGCTAATCACGAGCATTTTGTTGAATATTTCAATTACAACAATCCAACAATCAATTCTACAAGACATAAGACATAAGATATGGGCAGTGCTAGTTTTGTACAGAAGCAGCATGAATCAGTCACTTCAGTCACCAGATTTCAGACAGGCACTGTTTTCTAGCCTTTAGCTGTGTGTTCATTTAAAAACAATAACAAGTGACTCCACAGCAGGGATGTGGGGCCACCATTTTGGCTTTTCCTTCAGCTGTGGAAATGTGAAAGGCAAGCATTGCCCATGGGCAACTGTGACATTCCTTTGAAGCTGTCCCTATCTTTAAAATAAAAATGTTGCCTAATGTATATGCAGAAACAAGGCATACAATATTCTACGCCAGATTAAAATATATAATTGGTTACTAATGCTCTGTTTTCACCTGATAACTGCAGTTGGATTATCTGGATTATCTGAATAATTATATATAGAAATTGCTGGAAAATATGACATCACAAAAAGGGGAAGTCTGATCTGTGGGTTAAATACCTCCTTGCAGGAGACTTGGTACTGAATATAGATTGGATGTTTTGCTGTTAGCCAATATCTTGCATACAGCTCATCCTCTCTGCAGGTTGAGGGCCCATTCACAAATTTCTTCCCTAGAAGCCCCAAACTTCCTGAAGTCAACCCTGTATATAATACTGAGTATCACTAATTAAACTGTACTGATCATTAGAAATACTTTTTCTATTGAAACAGGATGTGTTGTTATCAAAATTCCTCTCTTACTTTCAAACATAATGCAAACTTTAATCACAAGCGGGAATTTTATTATTATTTAAAACAGCTTCTACCTGCAAAATGTATACAGTTTTCCTTGTCCTCACACTTCAACATTAAACATATCCTCCATGTTTCGGGAGAACCTTCTTAGTGAAGATCATTTTTTATCATTTTATAACTCTTAGCTGTCCATTACAAGATTCTCTGATAATCACAAAAAAGAAGACCTGCCCTCTTGTGGTTTCCGCTCATTTATGATCAAGAATGATATTTTCAATATTTTCTCATTCCTCCCCCTCCTGGGATGCAGTGGTGATTTGCACTGCTATTATTGATGCCAAGTATATTAACACTTACCGGCAGTGTTTGTGGGAGCCTGTCAGGGTTTCAATGACAAAACATTCTCCATCATTGAGACAGTATGCAAGATCCTTATCTTTGCATGGCTTAAAGTGCTCAGATTGTTCAGTGGAGTATGTTGTGGTATCTGGAGAGAAAGAACAATGGAGAGAAAATGCTGTCAGTATAGGAAAACATATTAGAGATGTATGCCCTTGGCCAGGTAGTCAACATTTGGTTTCAAATAACAAGAACAGGGATGGTAGAGCTAGGGGATAACCTGGAGATCAGTGATGAAAACATAAGAAGAGCCTGCAGGATCAGGCCAATGGCCAACATCCTGTCTACACAAAGTTAAACTGTAAGACCAGGAGTACTTTCAGAACAGCATCTAGCAGATAAAAGGGTGAGATCCATCAGAATACAGGGTCTACTGTACTGTAGTTCAGAGACAGAGTGCATAGTTTGCATGCGGAAGATCCCTGGAACCTCCAGGCAGGGCTAGGAAACACTATTGGCTGAAACACAGCAGAGTCACTGCCAGTTAGTGCAAAGAATACACACTCTCCAACATTTCTCCAATGAAAATAGTGGTGCCCTATTCCAGAGTAATAACAATCACCCTGAGACCTCTGGGTATAGGACAGTATACAAATTTTAACAAAAACAACAATAATTTAATTCTTTATATCTCATCCATCTGACTGGATTGCCCCAACCACCTTCCAACATATATAAAAACATAATAAAGCATTGAACGTTTAAAAACTTCCCTATACAGCAGGGGTCAGCAAACTTTTTCAGCAGGGGGTCAGTCTACTGTCCCTCAGACCTTGTGGGGTGCCGGACTATATTTTGAAGAGGGAAAATGAATTTCTATGCCCCACAAATAACCCAGAGATGCATTTTAAATAAAAGCACACATTCTAACTCATGTAAAAACACGCTAATTCCCAGACTGACTGCGGGTCAGATTTAGAAGGCGATTGGGCTGGATCCGGCCCCCGGGCCTTAGTTTGCTTACCCATGCTATACAGGGCTGCCATCAGGTGTCTTCTAAATGTCTAGTTACTTTTCCCCTTGGCTCGGGGGTCACATAACTCCATAGTCTCCAACATTTCTCAAATGAAAATAGGGACTACCCTAAGGAAAAACGGGACATTCTGGGATCAAATCATAAACTGGGACAGCATCTGTAAATATGGGACTGTCCCTTGGAAAATAGGGACACTTGGAGGGTATGGAGAAGCTGAGATCAGTAAAATATTGACTAGAAATACTTTTCAATTCAATCCCTTTAGGGCTGGAAACACCCCGGGGTTATGTCACATATTCTACAAACAACTATGACCACTCAGTAGCGATAGCAACAGAGATCTCAGTAAAAACTGAAAGCTGCAGACACTGGACTTCTCATCAGAGACAATGTAGTAACCCTACTAACCCTAGTCAGTATTATCCCAATACTGGAGTCAGACAGGTTGCAAGGTGAGAGAACTTTTAGTTACCACCACAACCATTTCCCTTCATAGCTTTACTCGACCCTTTCTAACTGTGATAACTTGCCAAGTAGAGCATATCTAGAAGAGGGTGACTGAAATGTCATGCAACAGGAGAGAAACCAGGGCCCTTTTTCAGCTGAAATTCTCCAGAACTGAGTTCTGGCACCTCTCAGGTGGGCACCATTGCCATTATAAGAGAACATGTTCATGGTGAGTTCTGACACCTCTTTTTCTAGAAAAATAGCACTGGGCGGGACTACCGACTACCAAACAGCAAAGACCAGGTAAAAAAATGGCTACTTAATGTGGAAGAGACATTTTTTAAAAAGCTCTCTCCAGAGTTTGCTTTATGTTGCATTCATTTTAGTTACAAGACGAAAAGGTTTTCCACACAATATGATTTGTTGGTTTCTCCCAAGACCACACATATTTTTGTTACAACATCATTTTGAAAGGGGACACTTGGAACATGGTGCTCTAAAGAGAACCAGAGCAAGCACATTTTTAACTATGAAAGGAAAACCACTGCAGGGATTACCGAAAACACAGGTTTCAGTTTTACAAAACTGATCTCCTTCAAGAGGATTATTGCAAAACCTTGTTCTCTAAAATGTGAACATGACACAAGTCACTCTGTATGCTGGGTCCTACAAAAGAAAACATTCAAAATATATGGCATGGTTCTCTTGTATTGCCTGACTGATGACTCTTCAGTGCTCAAATTACAGTCACATATCAGCTCTATGGGAGCTAAATACCCCTTTCAAGAAATCAAATGTTGCAAGTGAACATTCAGAACCAGCCAGGGATCCAGCCCCACAAAATCCAGCACAGAGAAAACTAGTATGTAAGAGGGGATGCTACAACACAACATTTCCTCTGACATGTAGTAGTTGTCAGGGATGCCAACAGAATTTCCTGGGCCTAGTACACTGCAGGTGGATTGGGCCCCTTCATTCATTGCCAGCCACCAGAATCTATTGACAAGATCTGCTGCTTATGTGCACATATTAGCATGGCATAACCTACCTCAGAAGGCTGTTGTAAATATAAAAGACAAGGAAAAGGAAAACATATACAAGCTTAAGCTCCCGAGTAGAAAAGCAAGATACAAATGGAGATCTCATAGTTAAATGATGAAATACAGTGGTACCTCGGGTTAAGTACTTAATTCGTTCTGGAGGTCCATTCTTAATCTGAAACTGTTCTTAACCTGAAGCACCACTTTAGCTAATGGGGCCTCCTGCTGCCGCCGCGCCGCCAGAGCCCGATTTCTGTTCTTATCCTGAAGCAAAGTTCTTAACCTGAAGCACTATTTCTGGGTTAGCGGAGTGTGTAACCTGAAGCGTATGTAACCTGAAGCGTATGTAACCCGAGGTACCACTGTACATTCCCTTCGAAGCCTCTACTGTGGGCCATGCCCATATGGAGGAGTTGTGACCACTCTTCATTATGCTCAAGGCTACATTCAACTTCTTTCTCACACTGGCGTTTACCTCTCCCAGAAAAAATCTAGAAGCAATCCTTCCCTACACTGCCTATAGTCCCTAAATACTCAGATGCTCCATGAAACTAAAGCTAGGCTGCAACCAGGCAAGAATGGAACCAGGGAGCATTTCAAAAGTGTTGGATGGAAATGGCGAAAGGGGGGACACATAGGTTTAGTGATACCACAGCAAGAGGATGGATACCCTGAACATCTTAGCTAAAGTCCCCAATTTTCATCTCCTGGGTGCACTGAAATTTCAGGAAGGGTCATTTGCAAACAATGTTCTCATTATTTCCACAGTTGCCGCAGCCTAAAACCTTCATTGCACATGCCTGAACAACTACTCTGGCTCACCATCCTCAATTAAGTCAATACCATTCTGTACGTCAAGATAGCCTTTAATTTTCCATTACCCATTTACCATGAATTCCTTCACCGAGCTAAATAGTAAGAAGTTACATTCTATTTTTTAATCAGCACTTTTAAACTGCTGCATGCTCAACATGCAATACAATGACAATCCAATTCCATTCAATTAGATTTCATCTGACAGCCACTCTCTGGTGGATATAACACCATATTACGGGGGTGGGGTGAATCCTACTTCTGGAAATGTGAAATTATAGTAATTTCAGGAGCATCATTCTCTTTCTAGAAGGGCAGTGAGTGCCCAGTGCCCCGGTAGTCATTGAACTGTAATACAGTGCTTTCATTTCTGCATTACAAAAATAAGCTTGACAACCACTGGAGATTTATGCAAAAGATGGAACATTTCCAAAAAAGGTGGTGGGGGTGGGGAGAAAACCAGAAACGACCAGCACAATTTTGTTGAATATATTTCATAAAATAGAAAATGGGCAAAATTTAAGGTATACTGGAAACTGACTTTTAGAAGAGCTTATTCCTTATTTTCCTTAGAGAGGTTTGAAAGTAGTTTCTGTTGTGGCTGCAGATGGACAAGGAACTTATAAAAGGGCTGAGAGTAGTTTGACAGAGGGGGTTTCTTTTCCATATAAATATTTCATTTCATTTTATCCATCCATTGACTCTAGTCAAAACAAGTATTGTAGGGTTTCGTGACAATATCCAAGAAGAAAAGGGGAGGGGATTAATTGGTGCGCTGTGGAGGGTTGTACTGTAGGGTTGAAAATTAACTATGTGATATCTGAATCCCTTTATGAAAATATTGCCCCAAAGGCAAAATGCAGATCAAATGTGCAATGCGGATGACACCTAAACTTTAAATCAATCAGCTACATGGAGGTACAGATTCCAAAAGAACCTACAGTAAATAATTTATATGCCTTATGAAACCTTATTAAATATATGCCCACTGAAATAATTATTAAAGAACTGAGAAGCTGGACAATCTTAATTGATGTCCTTCTTAGGTGGAGTAGTGGAGGGGGTGAACATCAGTTCTCCCCCAGCTGTTATTTATGTTTCAGGTGCTTCTGATTTCAATTCCAGAAAAAGTGCATGGGAAATGGCAGCCTTTCAGGAATAACTTAGTTTTCAGAATATTTTCAGAATGGACGGCTTGCTTGTAATTTACTGTAGAAAAGGACAATCCACCCGGGGGATGGGGCAGGAAAGTCCACATCTGAAAATACATATACAGTGGTACCTCAGGTTAAGTACTTAATTCGTTCCAGAGGTCCGTTCTTAACCTGAAACTGTTCTTAACCTGAAGCACCACTTTAGCTAATGGGGCCTCCTACTGCTGCCGCGCTGCCGGAGCACGATTTCTGTTCTCATCCTGAAGCAAAGTTCTTAACCTGAAGCACTATTTCTGGGTTAGCGGAGTCTGTAACCTGAAGCGTATGTAACCTGAGGTACCACTGTATTATGAAGCTTTACAGTTGCACCAGTTAAATTATATAATACTAATGAGAAGCCTTGGATGGAGGTGAACTGACAGGATCAAATAATTTTCCATTGTAGGCACAACCTCAAATCCATATGACTGCAAAACTCTGCAATATGTTTTGGTGCATAAAAAGCATGACAATCTAAATTAAACCCAAGTAGCTCCCTACAATACCCAGATCTGCCCTTCTACAGCATGGACAAAGAGGCTCAATTTAGGAACTGGGAAGCGGCTGTACCGGCTTTGGAACATCTGTATCACCACATGTCCATTCATTGAAGTACAGCTGATAGATGAACATTCATGACAGAGCACGAACCTGCCTTATCCTCAGACAGAACAGTGTGCCACATACTTCACCCCTCTGACTGACAATGGCTATCAGCCCATCCGCACAGTCCTTGCTCCCAGACCTACCTACAGTTGTTGCCCTAGGAGAGGGTTCTTCTTCCCACTGGCTCTACCCCTTAGCCAACCACACAGAACCTTCATTCACAAAGACGGAGAAGCAGAACTCAACTTGACTCTCTCCTCTAGGTGATATTCTAACTCAAGGTCCTGTTCAGCTTAAAGACACGGCAACAGACAGCAGCAGCAGCTCCCATCTCTCTCCCTTTCCCTCCCCCTCTCTTCTTGCACACTTGCATCAGGGCAGGAACCAGCCAGTCTGCCCTTATAGACAGCTGCTCTCAAGGCATTGACCACCGACAACATGTGCTGTGCAGGGAGACACCTCTCTAGCCTTGTGTTAATTTGCAAAGCCCTAAAAATATGAGGCCAAAGCACCTTAGGGCAGTGTTTCTCAAACCTGGGTCCCCAGCTGTTGTTTGACTACAACTCCCATCATCTCTGACCGCTGGCCCTGCTAGCTAGGGATGATGGGAATTGTAGTCCATCAACAGCTGGGGACCCAAGTTTGAGAAACACTGCTAGGGACTGCCTAAGATGGGCATGATTTAAGGTCAGTCTTCCTATTTGGTTACAGTGGGTAGACCTAGGGCCGTCTTAGTCTGGTAAGGGGCCTTGGTCTACCTCCCATTTGAGATGCACGGTACGGTGTTGTGAATGCATGATAAATGGGAGGGTCTAAATAAATAGGGAGGAAATTCTACCTAGACAATGTTGAAACTGCTGTGCTCTATTCCTGCATACATCAGAGGAAATATATATATTTAAAATCCACAAAGCCCACTGAGATCAACACATGTACTAGCTACAATGTGCTCAGATTGTTGCTGGGGTTGTATTCATCTGTGGCAGGAGTGCCCAAAGTCAGTGAGATTTTGGAATGAGGTTCGCTAGGAGGTGATGATCATAACTGCACAAAGAAGGGTTAAATCACCAAAGCTTACTTGGTGTGCATATCTATGAGGCAGGGGTGTGACTCATCAAAGCATACCAACATCTTTAAAGTGTAATGTGAGAACCATCCCTCGCACTAAATGACAGATGAGAAACCCTATTTTTCCACTCAGTGAATAATACCATTCTTTATCATTCTCACTTTTGATATGACACAAGCATTTAAGGAGAACAGGTACATGCCAACAGTGGCATGGCACACATTTTCCAAATACTAAATGAAAGAAAGGGTTAGAAATATTGCTAGATAGCCCCTGACAATACATAGCTGTGTCTTGTTTGCCAAAAGAGACACAAATATATCAGCTTGCCACTGAATACAAATGAGAACTTTTTTAGTACCCGCAAAACACAGGCAATTTCCTCTATGCATTCAACTCTATGCACCACTCTTAATCAAGCTCAGAATTTCCTTGTGGCAGTTCCACGGACAAGAAAACAGAGATGACATTGTGTAGAACAGTACACAATAGTGATTACCCCAGTGTGCAGCTTTATGGATAAAATATTACCTATTTAATCTCAAGCTCCACCTACTCTCACCCACTCAATTCATCTTGAAAGGAATCCAATTCATCTTGGTAAGATGCAAAATTCACTTTGAACTGATGGTAATGATATCCCTCCACTACCAAAAAGTAATATAAATTATCAGTCTGTAGTTTTGCCATCATAGAAGCTTGGAGGACACAACAGGCAGGAAACTAGATATGAACTTTGTTGTCTCTCTTCATTAGGAACAGCAACAGGAAACGCCTGACTCTCTCCAGATACAGCTACACCCAGTGCCACCTACTAAACTATACAGTGGTACCTCGGGTTAAGTACTTAATTCATTCCAGCTGTCCGTTCTTAACCTGAAACCTGAAGCACCACTCTAGCTAATGGGGCCTCCTGCTGCTGCCCCGCCGCTGGAGCATGATTTCTGTTCTCATTCTGAAGCAAAGTTCTTAACCTGAAGCACTATTTCTGGGTTGGCGGAGTCTGTAACCTGAAGCGTATATAACCTGAAGCGTATGTAACCTGAAGCGTATGTAACCTGAGGTACCACTGTATAATAGATTTGTCCACATAAAGACTATGTTTGAATTACATTTGGGGTGATAGCCAATTATATCATGCACAGAGCAAATCCACAGAAATCAGTAGACTTGAATTACTCATGTCCATTTTTTCAACAGGTCTACTGTATGACTAACATTGGATAGCTAAAGTTATCATTATGCTCAAATAATGTTTTAAAATTATTTACCCCTTTGTATGTCTTCTACAGCATCATTGCAGATACCAGGGCAGATTATAAGGAGTGTATTCATCTTACTTTAAAAAAACAACAACTGTGTAGCTGATGCTGATTTGGGGGGAAATACAGTTGAAAATAATATTACTGCAAATAGCCACTGTAAGACTAGGAAGATTTCACTACCTCCCACCGCAGCTAGTTGACTGGGTCTTTATCAATATTTTTGGTGAATTTTTGGGAGACAAAACCTGTACCTCTGCACCAGAGTTCTTTGGGAAGCTCCCCTACTGTCACTGTCATTTGTGTCTGCCAATTTCTCTCCTTCCCTACTCTCCCAAGCTTATCAATCTGCAAGGAAGGACAAGAAGTAGGAAAAACAGCATGGAGAGAGAGCAGGCAAAAGCCAAGGGTGTTTTAAGGCAGGAGTAACCAAAATGGCAACTAGACATTGTAGACCACATACATCTTCCATCATCCCAGGCCACGCTGAATGGGGCTGATGGGAGTTGTAGTCCATTGGGCACCACATTGGCTACCTTCGTTTTAAGGGATTTCTTACTCTGGAATTATGCAGAGCAAAGAGAAGGTCTATGTTTTAACTCTTCCTAGTGAAGGAGTCTGTTTTTTAAAAAGCTTTGTTATTATTACCTTCTTCATTTATTTATATTTATTTCAAACTAATTTTGAAATAAATACAACAATAATTGTTGAAATGTACTCATAATAAGACTAGATCTATTAGGAAGTGTATACTAATATGCCTCATTGTGGTTCAGCAGATCTCATGGGAGGTCATTTGTGTTAATAATCTTGACACCAAATGGCATGAATTATCGTTTTAATTATGATAACTGATGTAAAATTGTGTTATTAAACCTTCAACAAAGTTGTTAACAGAAAAGAGAAAGAGAGAGCTTTTTTTGCCCCCTCCCCTTGGCTACAGACTTTGCTCCCCCACCCCCACCCCCAAAAACACTTTTGGGAAATCCTGAGATGGAGGGGAGCAGGAAAACAAAAACAGGAGGATTGTTACCAAATAATCCAATCAGTGATATATCTTATTATGTTCTTTGAACTTACTGAGATCTTCTAGAAATCCTTCAGAAATATTTTCCAAACAGTCATCATGACCTTTCTTAACCTTTCCCCCCTTTCTTTACTAAAAGTAAACATACTTAAGTTCTTCTCATATGCCTTGGGGAACTCTTATATTCACAAGGCTCAATGTCCTATACTGCTGATCTTGGTCTGCTAACAAGGCTGGAAGCTTTAGTTCTCGGCAGTTTTGGAAGGTTTGCTGCTACATTCATCACTTCATTCCAACTTGAATCCAATTGTAGCCTATGTGTTTAGCTCTCAGCACAAATTTTGTTACGTGTTCGCATTATCTTGACAGGTTTGGCAGACACTTGCGCCTTTCCCCCCCTTTTTTTTTTAAAAAAGGGGAGTGCATCTTGACATTTTGCCTTGCCAAAAGTAGTAAATAAATATTTCATAGCCCTTTACCATTAGCATTGTGTGCAAATGGTGGGGCTGGATGGCTGCCATATTTCTCTTATCAATATTAACATCCCCAATATTTTACTATGAATGCAGCCATCATAATCATCTGTGGGCATTTATTTCTACTTCCAACCCACCTCAGGCTCTGTTCTACAGTTTACAGTTATTATTCTCAGAAATGAAATGTGCTTATAGGGGTTATGCCTGACAGAACAGAGGGTAGTTTTAGTGGTGGCTTGTGGGAATCATCTTAGACAATAGGGGGAAAGTTTTAATATGCCTAGTGCCTCAAAAGAGGCACCATTGGGGGGGTGAGGGGCTGAGGGTTCCCTGAAATAATCTGCAGCCTGTGGGCCTTCCTGAGGCTGTGGCGGGTCTCTCTCCTCCTGATGCATGACATTAGAAGTGCATGACCATGTGCCCCAAGGTGTGGCTTGCTGAACATCACTGCAGGGAAAGTAGAGAAAACAGAAGCAGCATTTAGGCCAAGTACAAAATAGCTGACCACTTTTGTTCTGTATCTCCTCCTCCTAACATTTTAATCTTTCTCCCAGAAACCCTGTGATGGCGGCCAAATTCTTGCAACTCCACATCAGCGCCTCAGATCTGACAACCCTACCTGCAGAATGCATCCCTGAACTCTGAAAATGCCTGTTGATTGCCTGGTTGGAGGACACAGAGTAGTGTGTGAGTGTGTGTAGAAAGTAGCCTGCTATGCAGAGGGACACTCATGGCTAACTTTTGCCTACCACTGGCATGTGACCCCAAAAGGTTGCTCAGAAGGCAATGAGGCCCTCAGGTGAGAAAGTATCCTCCATCTGTGCCTTAGACATTCAACAAACTCACTGTGTCAAGTATCAGCTGATTACTGGCTTGTTTCCAGGGCCAATTTCAGCTGCCTTTTATTATGGCAATAGAGTGGTACCTTGGGTTACATACGCTTCAGGTTACATACTCTTCAGGTTACAGACTCCGCTAACCCAGAAATATTATCTCGGGTTAAGAACTTTGCTTCAGGATGAGAACAGAAATCGTGCTCCGGTGGTGCAGTGGCAGCAGGAGGCCCCATTAGCTAAAGTGGTGCTTCAGGTTAAGAACAGTTTCGGGTTAAGAACGGACCTCCAGAATGAATTAAGTACTTAACCCAAGGTACCACTGTATCCTAACAACAATGTCCTGGGCTCTACTTACATTAAGGAAATAATCTCTTCCCATTTACAATCATAGCAAGGAGACTGACGTGATCTTGGGCTTAGACCTTTCACCGCCCCTGCTGAGATGCTGCTGGTTATAAAATGCTCTGTGTGCTTTCCTTTTACTGCAGCAGCCACCTCTCCCCTGATTGTTTCCTTCAGTGCTACAATAAAGTTTAAAAATTAGAATAACAAGGGAAGGAGCATATACACAGGTTCTTCCCACCTGATGATATCCTTGCATGGAGGACAGCAGCTTTAATGGAAAGACTTATAGATACCATAGAATTGTAGAGTTGGGACCCTGAGGATCATCTAGTCCAACCCCCTGCAATACAGGAATATGCAGCTGTCCCATATGGGGACTGAACCTGCAACCTTGGCATTATCAGCACCACACTCTAACCAACTGAGGATATGACCCTACACAGTTGCAGCTTGCAAACCAGACCATGTTAGCACAGGAATTTTCACAGGAGGAGTAGATGAAGGGGCAGTGATTGGTCAGGCAAGATGAAGCTTTGTACCCTCAACCATCTCCTTCTGTTTTCTCATGGTTACAGGTACAAATAAGGGAGAAACATCTGTTAGACTTATGGAGCAACTTGTGTGGATTAGAGTTCATTTCATCAAAAGCATTATATGCTATCCGCAGGTGTTTGAGGATCTTCTAGTCCACAGAACCTTATGCCATAATAAAATTATTAGTCTTCAAGGTGCCACAAGACTCCTTTGTTGTTTTTGCCGCAGTAGACTAACAGAGCTACCCTTCTGAAGATCAGGTAAGAAAAAGAAAACATCCAAAGTAAGTCTCAGGAATTTGTGAAATTTTAATCAGTAGTAGTATGAGGAGGTGGCACAGAGAAATTTACAGTGAAAACCTATGCTTGTCTACTATTGAGTTTGATGGTGCTTACTCCATTATAAGTGTGTACAGCATTGCAGGTATAATCATATCTTTTATACACTTGATGTAGGAAAGCATCCCTTGTTGTTAAAACATGTGCAGCTGGAATGTGTGTGTGTGTGTGTGTGCGCGCGCGCGCACACGTGTGTGTGCATGTGTGTGCAACCTAACACCACAGAAGTGTTTAGTTGCAAAAAAGCTATTTGTTGTCAAAGACTTGTTAATAGCTTATCTGACTGACAATGTTGCCCTCTTCCAGAGAAGCAGAGAAGTGGGTCAAGGAATCTGCTTCAGAGAAAGGCAAGGTGGAGATAAATAATACAATTTTAACCCTCAGCTGGTTCCATCTTCCAAGGTAAAATGTCTAAAAAATTATTATTCACTACAGCATCTATCATTCTGACATCCTAATGGTATGGGAATATACAATCAGGCTATGAAACTTTTACATTATTCTCAGAATCCTTTCACATAAAGGGATCCATACATCATTCATTTTATGTTATGTGTATTTTTTTTTTAAAAAAAAATCTTGTTTCCACCCCTTTAATCTTTTCACTGCCTGTTTGAATCTTTTACTTCAGAATCCCGAAGGAGATAGAAGAACAGTGGAGGAGAGTCTGTAGTATCACTGTGATTGGGTGTGCTCAATATAACTTGCTCTGATATTTATTTCTGCTAAGCAACATGAATAGATGCGTTAGAAGGGGATTTGCCAACATGGTGACCTCCAGATATTGTTACACTACAACTCCATCATCCCTGACCATGGACCATGCTGGCTGGGGCTGATGGGGACTAGAATCCAAAAATATCTGAAGGGCACACCTGTTTCTGGATTAGAAACAGATTCCTTCTTCAGTGGCTGCAAACCTGAAACAATGGCAGCAGAATCGTCTCTTTAAATGGGTCTGCACCAATTACATATAAAGCAGAGGGTTACTAAACCCTCCCCACAATTTAACTTTCTGCAATCCTAAAGTATCATTGATCAACCGGAGGCAGAAGAATGATCACAGAGTGCAGATTGCAGGGGGATATACCACAATCTGGGAGAGAGGTTATTTCAGACCCTGACTTGAAATGGGACAGGTGTCACACCCACTTTGACCCTGAACAGGAAGTTAGTATCAGGAGCAACAAAGTTTAGTGCAAATTGTACTAGGATGGGTGCCACCTGGGAATGCACTTCCTTCATAACAAGAAATCAGGCCTATTCTGTCTTCAGAATCTCTGCCATAAGCCCAGCAGCATGTTACTAAATTTGTCTGGAAATGTGCCATCAAATCCCCACAGGTGACAAAAGATTCCAAACTCAGCTTATGTTTAGATAAAGATGTTCAGCCTGCAGAATGGAATCAAGTGTAGATTCAAGACTTTGCAGGGTATTTTTACTCTTGAGAGTCTGGCATCTAATAAACTTGTGTAATGTAAGATCACATCATGCTCTGTAGTTTTAAATGATCCAGAGTGGAATGAGGTTAAGTACACCCCTGGAATGGCAACATGCAGAGCAAAATTATGGTAGAACTAAAGTGCTCTGAGTGCAATGACAGTATAGAAGCAGCATAAACAGTGTAATAGTAGTCTGCAAACTATCTTCTTTCTCTGGTACCTGTCATTCCACTCTGGAAATGTATTGGGGGGGCACTGACCTTGAATTAATGAAATTCTGATCTAATAATAGTGTGAATTATTCAAAATACAGAAGAGGAATCTCAGTATCCTTGCCTTTGTGTCGGATATTGTATCAGTATTAACAAATTGGTTGCCACTCTTCCAGATGCTTCCATGACTATACTGAGCAATTATCACAAATAATATTTCTTCCTGGGCAATTAAATGCAAGAGACAATACCTTTACAGATGTGCATCTGTAAAGAAAGAATCATTAAAAAGGCACATCTAACATCTGTTTCCTTACTAGGGATGGGAGACAAATTCCATTTGGTAGAAATTTAAAGTCAAATCTATCAGATTTGCACTTCATGAAACAATATGCAAACTGAAATACAGCTATCCTTCAAAACGTGCACTTGTTCAGTTTTTTTTCTTAATAATATTTTTTATTAGTTTTCAATTACAAGCCAAACACTTGTTCAAATTTTGCGATGCAGTTCTCCAACCATGTTTACAAAAATGCATATTGTAGGGGAAAGTGTGCATAAAAATATGCGGATCAGGCCATGGCTACTAATGTTCAACAACAGGAAGCTTCTAAATGTCCCAGAAAGACACCAAACTTAGAGTTGTCCAACAAAGGAGTGGGCTGGCCGGGGGTTCTACTTCCCCATCATTCAGCTACACAGTCATGCTACCCATCTGCCAGCTACAGAAGGATTGTGGGGGACTTGGCTTTTGAGAGTCACATATCCAATCTGAAGGAGGTGTAGGAAGCTGAAAGTCTTTTTTTCTAATCAGCATGCAATATGTGATATTTGGGAAATCTTATTACCGAAGAGGAAAGAGACTATTTTTAGACGCCTACACTAGGAATAGATCTAGACTTGTGGCAGAATAAGGTGAAAATGAGCTGGTAGAATCAACTGCAATGGGGAAGTCGCTGTGACATTCCAGGATTCTCTTGCATGGGCCTGGTTGCTCAAGGTCACTTGCTAAATCACCCAGTTGCCACATTGAATCTAGACATTCCTGACTGGTTCACACAATATCTGTTGTCATCACCTACTGAGTTAAAGAAAGAAGCAGGACACTTCCTTTATCTAGGCTCTCTTGGATGAAACTTGTTTTTTTAAGATCCATTTCAATCAGGGTTTAGCCTCTGTTTTGGTATGGTAACTGACTCGATTACTCTTTTTGATAAGCACTGTCAAGAGAAAGATGGGAGAGAGAGAGAGAGAGAGAGAGAGAGAGAGAGATCTCAGCAGCTTTTGATACCATTGACCATGGCATTCTTTTGGAGTGGCTGCCTGAGTTGGGAGTAGGAGGCATCATTCTGTTCCAGGTCTACTTGGATGGCTGTTTTGAGGTACATTGTTTGTTCCCAAAGAGCTTTTAGCGTGAGGTTCTGTGGGGTTCTGTTTTAGCACACACCCGCTTGATGCCTACATGAAACGGCTTAGTGGGATCATCTAGAGTCTTGGAGTATGTTGTCAGCAATATGCTGATAACCTATAGTTCTACTTCTCCTTTACATCTGTAGATTAATCATCATCACCACCACTTAATTTATACTACATATACTACAATCATGTGGGGTGTGATGTCCTAAACTCAAAATCCACACTGGCCAGAACATAGGTAGATAAAATCGTAAACATAATTTTGTTTAGGAAGCATCAGATCAAGGATATGAACAGAGTTCATAGTAAATAAAGAGTAAATAAAGAGTTCTAATATCCGAACCCAACAGAACTTGATATTTCTCTTTATAGCCATCACCATAACTTTTACCTCATTCTCTCCCTCAGTTTCTTCCCCTTCACTCTCTTCTGTGTCTGCTCAGATATGTATCTTCACCCAACTGTCATTCTCATCCAACTGCCACCACCTGCCACTCACTCAGACATCACCCAGCATTCCATCACATCCTCCTGCTGCTATTCTTTCTTCCATCCACTCTTCTATTATAGTAACATGTTTAAATCTCTCTCCAGCTTAACTAGCTGCAAGAAGAAAACTAGCACAGCAAGGAAAGGGGCTGGCTGCAGCCTCTCCTTGATGTGGCTGTGGTTCTCATTCTTCGTTCCTTGCAAAGAATAAAGGTAAAGGAACCCCTGACCATCAGGTCCAGTCGTGACTGACTCTGGAGTTGCGGTGCTCATCTCGCTTTATTGGCCGAGGGAGCCAGCGTACAGCTTCCGGATCATGTGACCAGCATGACTAAGTCGCTTCTGGTGAACCAGAGCAGCACACAGAAACACCGTTTACCTTCCCGCTGGAGCGGTACCTATTTATCTACTTGCACTTTGACATGCTTTCGAACTGCTACGTTGACAGGAGCTGGGACCGAGCAACGGGAGCTCACCCCATCACAGGGATTCGAACCACCGACTTTCTGATCAGCAAGTCCTAGGCTCTGTGGTTTAACCCACAGTGCCACCCACGTCCCATTTGCAAAGAACAGGACAGCACTAAAAATGGCATCACTCACCTGAGGTAGCACAGCCCATTCTATCCCTTTGGGACTGTGCCACCCCATTCTGCTGCATGTATAAATTTAGCCTAAGAACAGAGATGGGGGCGGGGGGGCGGGGAGATACTCTGAATTTTGTTGGGAGATAAGCATTTTACATGCTGCTTCAATTGTTATGCTTGTTTCCTAGATAATTTAGCAAGGAAAAGAAACTTCTACGATATTGAATGGAAGGAAAAGCTGATAGCACATTTTACCAGATGCTACTTACATTATTGACAAAATATCTACAAGTTTCAAAATAAATACTGTGCACAGATTGCTCTGTCTGCAAACTGTACCTCCAATGGCAAGCAATTAAAACTAGCTTTAGACATTTCTGCTTAGACACCTACACACCTAGACTTATCATTTTCTTTGCTTACATCAATCCACATACTTCCTCACATTCAGAACATCAGTTAATAATTCGATAATATTTTCTCACAGCACAAAGAGCTGCATTTTTTAATACATGATGTTTCTTGGAACAATTCCCTTTATGTATCCTAGGGTAGTCACACACTGAAAGAGGACATGCATCACCCTCAAATAGGATGAAAGAGGGCAGATATTTGCATAAATATGCATTTTCTCATTTCTGTGTATCCACTAACATTTAGAAGCAATGACTACAATTTAGATAGAAATACAATGCCTCTCAGAGAACATAGTCAAGTGACCTGTGTGCCTGCCTGCTCAGGCCATTGTGCAAGTGCTAACAAATTGCAGATGGACAACTCCAAGACCCTGGGTCTTCACTCTCTTGGAAAGAAAAGCCCTTCAAATATAGGATGCTTTTCAAATAGAAGACTGTCCTCTGCAATTGTATGTCCATTGCTGGATTTGAGTAAGAGAAACTTAATAGATTTTGGGAAATAGAAACTGAAACAAGTGCTCCACCTTTTCGACTGGCAAAATTATAAGCACCATCCTATAAGTTCACCAAAGTTTTGCTTCTTAAGGTACTTTCAAAACTGAGGACTAATCCACAACCATCTCATGCTGTTCAAGTGTCTTCAAATGGGGGGGGGGGGGTGTCAGTTAGAAACATTCCTTTGTATATAGTTTACGGAAGATCATTCCATATTACAAGGGGGGGGGGGAGCATCAAGAGCCAGACAATGCACTTAAACTCTGGCACAAGTTGCAGAAGACCAAACAAAGCAAGGGACAGACAATTAATCAATGTGTGATACATAATACTTCAACTGACAGGTTTATCCCAGACAACTCTGCATGAGAGTTCTGAAAGACTTCCTTCAATAAGATACAGTGGTACCTCTGGTTATGAACTTAATTTGTTCTGGAGGTACGTTCTTAACTTGAAACCGTTCTTAACCTGAGGTACCACTTTAACTAATGGGGCCTCCCGCTGCCGCCTTTTGAGAGGAACCCAGCACAGCAGTAATTTTCTGCTTTTGAGGTTAGCCACAGCTACTTCCCAATTAATAACCTTGTGAGTCTACACTTCATGATGATTAAACTCAATTCAGGAAATCCCAACTGAAATCTCATTCTGGCCATGACTTACTTAAGAGCTGTATCCAACTACATCGCATTCAGATTATATACATTATACACAAAGTGTGGTGAATGTGCTCTGTTACATCAAGGATCTGTTACATTGGTAAAGGGTTGCTTTTGTTTTAGTGGTTGCTCTGACCAAGAGGATTAAAGTTCAACACAGGACGAAAATGACAGTTAAAGGAAAAGGAAAGCAAAATATTTCAGGAGGAAAAAAGAAGCTTAACAGATTTCAAGAAGACTGGCAAGGAGTTTGGGAGGGGAAATACTTGTAAGTAAAGAAAATAGTTGAAGAATAAAGAAAAGTTAAACTGACAGAGAAATGATATATTGCAAGAAGGAAAAAGAGCTAAAATGCTGTGAGACAGGTGAAGTACTGTGGAAGAGTTTAGAGAACAATACTGGAATGCTGTAGAAGAAAGAAGCCAAGAAAAAGCTGCAAAGCGACCCAGATGCTGTACTGAGGAATACAAATTGTTACCTATTGGCTTGGTTAGTGAAGCAGCAGTCTACGCTTATCTGGATGTGTTTTCCTCTGTGATCTTTATATTTAACTTATGAATAACTGTCCAAGCTGTTTCTAAAATAAATTTGTGCGGTCTTATTGCCCCCCCTTCCAATTACATTCACTACTTTATCTGGTGTAACAAGCTGGTTAGTCTAGCTTTTAAGATGTCACAAATGTTAAAGGGCTGTTCAGTGGAGGCAGTTGGAGGAGTGGGGTATTCACCTGGTAGCAGCAGTGAAGTAGGGGAGGGTGAGGAGCTGGGTGTGGTTTGCTTGCTTGCTCCCTCTTTCCTGGTGTAGACCACACCCTCTGCCTTCGCATCTGAACACTTGAAAATTCAGTGCAGCAATGCCAAGGTGACAATGATGGAGGACTTAAAAGCTATCAGGTGGCCTAAAATCATGACCACAAACCTGACACCCCATCAGCACTCCTTTGTGAATGGAGCAAAAGAGCCACTCCTAATTTGACACCCAATTGCAGTTGGCCAATTGGGGTGAACGGGTTACATTTTCCATTTAGTACATCAGGTACCTCTGGGAATGAGGCTAGTTACAAATTGTTTTAAAAAGAAGGAATAAGTAAGAAACTCCCCCTGTTAGTTGCAACTCCCCCCAAAAAAGCATTCTTGCCTGACCCCTGAATAATTTCAAACATGAATAATTTCAACCATTGTAATGTGGTCATTCTCTGGACCTGTCCAGAAATAATTCTATCCCGACTGGTGCTCTGGCTTTTAGTAGAAATTCTTACTGGAGAGGCATATAGCCTGTTTAAAAAACACAGTGCTCATAGCATATGATCCCACCCACTTCTAGTCCCTTGCAAATCAGTAAGACAACCCCAGAAGCAGCGAGCTTCCACAGCCTTAAACAAATGGCTGTCACACATTGGCACATTATGTGTACCAGAACTATAGAAGCATCGCTGTTGAATCTTGACATTCCTGTTTCCAAATCAGGAAACGCAGATCAAATTTTCATTGAATTGGGCTACCATCAGAAAAATGGATTGTGACAGGATTTTCAGTCAAGCTTTGGATTTAGCTGCTTCAGTCCTAGAAGCCAGATTAGTTTGTGCCAATGTTTCAAAACCTATGCCCTGGAGATGGTGCTTGAAATAGCAGCCAGAATCTAATCAGGTAGTTTTGTAAGATTTCATTTTGAATGACAGCAGTCTCCATGGATCTCCTATTCATTATATATCTGCTACTCGGCTGAATTCCTCTCCCCACTCCTTCCTTTTTCATAGAACTTGGAACCTGAAATAGGTAACGATAATCTCTGCAATCAAACCAAGATGGAATTTTACATTCTATTTAAATGTTCTGCACTTAACTCTTCTGCAAGCCTGCCCCATCATCACTATTATAATTCATATATTGATGAAATATGTTAGGTAACCAACAGAGCAGAAACAAAATAAAAGGGTATACTTTGTGAGTACAGACTTTATGGAAGCAGTACCTGAACTTTGATGAGGAACACTCTTTTGCCAGTCAGAATTAATATTTGAGACACATGTCACTGTTACCTCTGAAAAGGGTTATTTTTAAAAAGCGAACATTTAAAGCATTAACCAGTTTTTAAAATGACCTCCTCCATGTTTGTTTATTAGTAATTTACCTGGGCATGCTTTCAATTTATGTAAACAGCTTGGCAGAGGCACTGCCTTAGGTCCCAGGTTATGGGTGCTCAATAGCGCCTGTGATATAATGCAACATTGTGGTGTCATGATGTTGTGTCATCACAATGTCACATGGCAGTGGCAGGGCAGCTTTTCTGAGGCCTTGCGGGGTCTTAGAGATTAAGTCCAAGACCTCACGAGATCTCTGAACATGACTTCTGGTTTCTACCAGATGTCGTGTTCAGAGGCCTGGCAGGGCCTCCGACATCGTCTGGGAGGCCGTGTCGGGGCTCCGATGCAAGTACCGGTAACCGGAGGTCACGTCGGAGCTCAGTGTTGTTGTGGAGTGTTTTCTAAAATTCTTAGGTGAACAATTAAAGAAAGAAATAAGCAGTCTTCTCTGAGGGTGAGTAGTTTTGCTGCATCTCCCCAATGCTACTGCTTGGTTTTGTGGTTGCCATATGTCCTCTTTTTCCAGGACATGCCCTTGTTTTCATGGGTATGTAAAATGAGAGTCGTCATAGCGATCCATTGTTAAAGGTAAAGTCAGCAAATGTGTCCTCTTTTTTGCTCTTCAAAATATGGCAACACTAAATGTGGCAATAATGGGAGCCAGTGTGGTGTAGTGGTTAAGAGCTATAGACTCGTAATCTGGTGAACTAAGTTCGCGTCTCCGCTCCTCCACATGCAGCTGCTGGGTGACCTTGGGCCAGTCACACGTCTCTGAAGTCTCTCAGCCTCACTCACCTCACAGAGTGTTTGTTGTGGGGGAGGAAGGGAAAGGAGAATGTTAGCCGCTTTGAGACTCCTTCGGGTAATGATAAAGCAGGATACCAGATCCAAACTCTCCTCCTCCTCCTCCTCCTCTTCCTTCTTCTTCTTCTTATACCCAGGTCACGATCACACCATACATTTAAAGCACTATTAACAGCCATGGCTTTTCCCCAGAGAATCGTAGCTTCTTAAGAGCTACAATTTCCAGCACCCTTTAAAACTTATTTTTTACAGGATTCCACATTCTATTAAAGTGGTATAATAGTCCTTTAAATGTGTGTGAATGTGACCCCAGATGCTGCTAGGGTGCATTCCCCTAATACTTTTTAAACTTGCAAGTAGGGCTTTTTTTCAGCCAGAACTCACTGGAACTCAGTTCCTGCAATTCTCAGGTGGGTGTCATTGCCATTCTAAGAGAGGTGTTTATGGTGAGTTCCAGCACCTCTTTTTCTAGAAAAATAGTACTCCCTGCAAGGCTCCAGAGAGACAGAAGAAGAAGAAGAGGAGGAGGAGGAGGAGGAGGAGGAGTTTGGACTTGATATCCCGCCTTTCACTCCCCTTAAGGAGTTTCAAAGCGGCTAACATTCTCCTTTTCCTTCCTCCCCCACAACAAACACTCTGTGAGGTGAGTGAGGCTGAGACACTTCAGAGAAGTGTGACTAGCCCAAGGTCACCCAGCAGCTGCATGTGGAGGAGCGGGGACGCGAACCCCGTTCACCAGATTATGAGTCCACCGCTGTTAACCACTACACCATGCTGGCTGAAGCATTGCCCTCACTTTGATTTGGTGTCTTGATGATGCCACATGAAGACATTTGGAAGTCAAATGAGAGGGCAATCCTTTATTCACATTGGAGACTTGTGGGTAAAAGAAGTTTGGGTGGGGTGTTCCCACCCAGTGGGGACAAGTTAAGTTCACCCCACACTGCTAAACCCGCCCCCAAACTTTGAGGCCTGTAACCAAGTTTCCTCAAAGTGGGTGGAAATGTGGTGGAGGAGATGACAGGGAAGTTATTAAGTTAGGAAGAAGCAGTGCTGTTTCAGTGAGGATCAAAGATTCTGTGACTGGCAAGATATATCAACTCATTAGGCCTATTGCTGTTCTAGGGCAACAGCACTGCAGTTGACACCCACACATAACTGACATACTCTGTCATATGCTTGAAATGTTGAGTGTTACCAAACATCAGGCAGATGCACAATCTTGCTGTTAGTACCATGTAGATGCTATTAGTTATAGCTGCTGACAGCTGACAGCTATCAGACTGATTTACATTTCAAATCTTATGGCAGTAAATCTGATAACCAAGGTTAGCATCTGCATGGTTGTTAATCATTTTTTTCCTTTCTCACAGATATTTCGCTTGCTCTGTTGTTTTTTTAAAAAGCCTGTATGCTGAGCATCAAATTCCTACAATTTGATGTATGGGGCAAATCTTTCCTAATTAGCTAAACTTCATATTTTCAGAGGAGAGAGAGAAAACTTTAAAAAAGAAAAAGAAAATCTAAGGGTTTGTTCTCTGACATTAGCCATGATTTTATGGCATCAAATCACATTGCTCATGTTACTTTAGGCACACAGACAGAGAACAGAAATCTCTGCAGAGTGGCCAGCTGTTTATAGATGTATTTTAACATTTATTGGCCACCTTACCAAAAGAAAATAAGTAATAATTTCTGTCCAAGTAATAAAAATTAGCACAAAAGCAGCAATAAAACTTAATGAACAGAGCTGTCATGACATATAGGAAAGCAGAAAGTTTTTATTTCACAGTCCGAAAGCTGACTGGGGTGGGAGGATGTTTCACTTGCCTCCTGAAAGTGTGCAGAGAAGGATTCGCAAGAAAGACCTTAGCCTGAAACTCTTCTAATTTAGTATCAAGGGTCTGAGGAATTTTAACCAGTACAAGGGCTGTCATCCGTCTGGATTTTCCCAGACATTACTGGGATTTCAAAGACGGAATTGATGTTGGGGGGGGGTGTTCCAAAAGGTAGTCCTTTGTCCTAGATCTGGCAAGTCCATCATTGTTGTTTTCGGGCATTTTTGTAAATAACTTTCGGGTTTTCGGGATGTCCTGGTTTTTACTTTTTGAAATAGGGCAACCCTATCAGTACATTTATTAATTTATCAACTAAGCTTACATTTGTTTGCATATTACCAACTTCAAAAAAGTGCTTTATTTGTGTACTGAGGGAAGTGAAAGTTTATTTACATATGAATAAACAAAGGGTAACACACTTTGATAGGCTGAAAGGCCATATTTTATATTTTCTTTGTCATTCATGATTACAGTAATACATCAGAACCAGGATTGCTTGACAAAATAAAGAAGTCTGTTTTTAAGTTATAGCACCATCAAGTACAATTTCTCTCAGCAACTAATCCATTAAAGGCTAGTTGACTGACTACCAACTGAACCCGAAACATCAATGTGGCACAAAGGGAGGCTTCCTTTGCAGGACACACACAAAAGTTGCATATTAATTATGTTAAACACCACACAATGGTAGGGAGCAGAGATGTACAGTATTAAAATCTCAACCAAAACTTAATTGAACTCAAATTCAGAGGTGAGACATCTGTGGAATACAGAAGGAAGTCAAAAGACAGAACTTGTGATGCTTCTAGGATGAGCAGAGCATTCTGCAAGTTAAATTGGAGACTTCAGGAAGGAAACTTTTTTTTTTTACATGCATTTTAGTGGCTATACTTGGAGCAACCATTCCCGTCCCCCCTTATCTACAAATGGATAAAAATCAAAATAGGGGCAAAAAATATGTCCTTTGTAGAACTTGTCAGGTGGCACTCCTGCATTTAAAACTAATATCAGAAGCAATTCTAACTTAAGTATTAGTTTAAGTCACAAAAGTGCCTCCTGAAATCATATGGGAATGATTTAGATATATGCATCTACCGAGATGGTTGGACAGTGTTCTCGAAGCTACAAACATGAGTTTGACCAAACTGCAGGAGGCAGTGGAAGACAGGAGTGCCTGGCATGCTCTGGTCCATGGGGTCACGAAGAGTTGGACATGACTAAAGGACTAAACAACAACAACATCTACCGACAAGAAATACATGGGCATAACAAGTTTTATGTCTTGTAACGGGCAAAAATAATCCTGCCACCTATAAGTTCCCTACCTAGTAACACAGATGTTCTGAGCACAGGGATCAGTCAACCAGAGAATTTGGGAAGAGGTTTTGAGAACACAAAAATTGGAGATTTTGCTCTTTAAAATATTGGATCAGGCCAAAGGCCCAATTTCCTCTGACTGGAAATAGAACATAACCAGCATGTATTAATAGACTTATCTTCCATAAATATGTTTATACTTCTTTTAAAGCCATCCAATTAACAGTTTTTCTTAAAACTGCTAAGAACAACTGAATATGAATAGCTAATTGCTATCAAAACAAAAATTTACTTATTTTTAAGGCAGATTGGCCCCAAAACAGTGAAGATGGAGAGCTCCCACCTGTTGCAGGAAATATATTGTCTTGTCCCCTTATCATTTCCTACCTAACAGGAGCGGCACTGATAATGATCTGCCGAGTGGTGTGGTTCAGGTCAGGAAGGAACAGATCTCAGGTGTTCAATGGATGTCATCCTTCCCGACCCCCTTTGTCAGCTGTAGAAGTGACCTGCAAGCCGGAGCCCATTTCTGCTGGTTGTGAATTTGCATGGAATTACCAATCACATTTTAGCTTTCTTATACACTCCAAAATTAAATAATGTTGTAATCTGCACTGCATCCTTTGGCTACGGCAGGCTATAAATCTCAATTAATAATGGGTTGTGTTGTTTTCATTTTCCTCTCTTTTTTAAAAAGAAGCATTAAGATAAGAAATGACAGATACATCTTTTATTAGCACTAGTGTTGCATTAAGGTGTAATCAAAACCATTCATCTGCTCAAGCAACTATTATGTAACTTAAATGGTTATTAATGTATTCTTGGAAATGCCAACGTATATCTTTCCCAGAAAATTCAGTTCAAAGAAGAAATATTATAAAACACTTTCTCAAGTTCTCTCATTTAACACCCCCCCCTTGTTTTGAAGTATCAGAAAAGTAATACAATGCTTCTGGGATTTACTTTTTTGTATCTGATCACTTGCTTCAGAGAAGTTACTTACTGCGCAGAAAAGTCAGAAGAGCAGACATCTAGCACAGCATTCTCTTGCTAAGAGCAAGCAACCACTCAGATGTCTCTGAAAGCTCTCAAGCAGCACATCTCCTGTTGTTTATCCCCAGTTTCTGATACTATCTTGTGTGCCCTCTGATCATGGAAGTTCCACTTAGGATCATAGCTAATAGCTTTAACAGGCCTGCCTTCCAGGAATTTCTCCAGTCTTTCCCTTAAAACTATTTAATATAGAGGCCACAATCACAACTTCTGGTAAGAAGTTCAGACTGTGAATCAATATTAAAAGGACAAGAAAAACCCTCATTTGCGTGTAAGGCACAAGATTGTGCTATTCTGCTTCCTTTCCAATTGCGTGCTTTTGTTAAGGGACACCACACACTATGTTTACACATGACAACAACAACAACATTCCCTCCATAATGTGCGGAATAGGAGTGGGGAACCTTTAGCCCCTGGTCATAATTAGGACCACCAGATCTCTCTGTTTGGCCCACAAGGTGCCATTTTGACCAAAGGGCCAGTTGCCACAAGGAGGCCATCTTGGGGAGCAACCTCATAAAAATTGTAAAATTGTAAAATTGTAAAATTGTAAAAAATTGTAAAATTGTAAAATTGTAAAATGTGTTTTTAGCAGAAAGAGGAAGGGCAGAAGGAATGGGAGCAGCACACTGCCTTGAAAAGGAGGTCCCAGGAAGTCATGGGAACAAGCAACAGGGGCTGTTAGAACAGATGCAGCAGTAGGGGCTGTGGGGGTTAAGAATTTGGAAGGAAGGAGCAGAAACAGCAAGGGCTGTGAAGGGCACAGTGAGATAGGAATCGCTAGACAGGACCTTGCATCTTGCGGCTCTCATGCAGAGGAGAGGGGATTAGGTTATAAAACTTCCCACAGAACAGTAGAATAATTGGCTCGTTTTTGTGGAAAACAACAATTACGAGGGAAAGGGAAATTATGTAGGGCATGAGGGACACAAGATGGTCTGAAACCCATATGCAAATTGCACTCCTTGGAGGTATCAATTTGCTTGTAGCTAGATATAGGCCTTCTAATGTTAAATTATGCATACAAGAGACTGATTTGCCACAGTGCTGCTTCACACAGAGAGCAGAAGACAAAATACAGATGCTTGCCTCCACAGCGTTTGGAAGCCACAGTACCTAATTCACAAAGCAAACAGCATTGTTCTATCTGCTTATGGTTTACCAGATGCTCAGCCTGAGAGAGAGAAGCCACTAAACTGAAATTAGGATTACTAGGGAAATACTGGAATATCTGAAACAGTTATTGGGGTTAATGGGTTTCTTAAGGAACATGATACCATGCACACATGGCTGGCTTACTAGGAAAAAGGGAGATTTGTGTGGTCTTAATATTCACACCATGGGAAGAAATTAGATGAAATGCTGTTGAAGTTTAGCTAGGCAAAAGAAAAGAAAAAGTTTATCACTTCAGGAGAACTATTTTTCCCTCCCCAATTTCAGGATAACATAATTGTTCCACAACCCATAATTATGTTGGTGACAGGATTGCACCACCTGGAGAAGGCTCTCCACCAATAATATCATTTTAGCCCCTGCCTACACCAGACTTAAAACATTATCCACCACTTTCCCCATGCCTGTTAAGGAAGGTAGAAATAAAATACATTAATAACATATAACTTGAGGTACCTCAAAATCCACACCTATTGACCATGTCTCAGAAGCTACTGCCCCTAACAATAGACCACAACACAAAACTCAGCACAGGATTGACTTTCACATGTGAGTGGTGTGAAGTATTTTTCACTGTGCCTTGAAATACTTCACCACATAATATGACCTACGGCCATTGATCCTATGAAACACTTGCTCAGGAAGTGAGCCTCATTGAACACAACTGTCATGATTTCCAGGTGCAGGGAAACATCCATAGAACTGGGGTGTTTGAAGTCTGGGGCCTCACCTGTTCACAAAGCTCCTACAGTGGTACCTCGGGTTACAGATGCTTCAGGTTACAGGCTCTGCTAACCCAGAAATATTACCTCGGGTTAAGTACTTTGCTTCAGGATGAGAAAAGAAATCACGTGACGGCAGTGGGAGATCTCATTAGCTAAAGTGGTACCTCAGGTTAAGAACAGCTTCAGGTTAAGAACGGACCTCCAGAACGAATTAAGTTCTTAACCAGAGGTACCACTGTATTTATTACTAAAGTGGAGAAACGTGCTAAGAGGAAAGCACGCTTGGCAAATCCACACCGTGATCAACTCCTGCCCGGAAACCAATGTCCCCACTGTGGAAGGACGTGTGGATCCAGAATTGGCCTCCACAGTCACTGTTAAAACCGTCTTTATGGAAGACAATCTTACTCGGCTACGAGTGATCACCAAAGAGGAAGAAGATTGCTAAAGTGGAGCATTGCATAGTTCAGGGAACTTGTAATAGCACTGTTGATGGGTTTTATAAGCATACACCATTCTAGTTACCTCTTCAGTATCAGAGAATGTGTGACATACATTTTAAATCATGATGATGCGTGAGGGGGCCTCGAAACATAGAATAGAATCATAGAACTGCATACCCTCCAAGTGTCCCTGTTTTCCAGGGACAGACCAAGAATGACAAGTCATCCCGGCTTCTGATTTGATTCCGGAATGCCTCCACTTCCCGCTCCAGAGCTGCCATTCAGGGAGTGAGATGAGCTGCCACTTGTCCTGAGCAGCGGCAGTGGCAGCAGCAAGGCAGCATCCTGTGGCCTCTTCATGGCCGCTGCTGCCAGCCTCCTCCCTTGGGCAGCTTGGAACAGCTGCTGGAAAATGAGGAAGAGGAGATGCTGCCGCCACTGAGGCCCAACACCACGTGACACACTGGCTCTGAGGGCAGGCAGAGGGCAAGGATGCTCTGGGTTGGAAGAAACAGGTAGTGGAGTGGAATGTAAGGAGTTTGAGTTTTTGATTTTTAAAAAATGCTTTGTGTGTCTGTGTCTAATATTGCTCCTTTCTAAAATTTATTTATTGGTATGTGTTTCCCTTTTTGTAAATCTATCAAAGAATCAAATCAAATCAGGATTAAGGAGTTTTCTCAGGATTGTGGATAAAGTGTGTGCTATGTCCTATTGGTGTGGTGGTGGTGGCAAAAAAATGGGGAGTTGAGGAGGGTCAGTTGGGGAGGAGTGAAAAACATTCCTATTTTCACCTGAGGAATGTTGGGAGGTATTGTATAGTTAGAATCGTAGAATCATAGAATTGTAGACTTGGAAGGGACCCCAAGGGTCATCTAGTCCAACCTTCTGAAATACAGGAATCTTAGCTTAAACATCCATGACAGGTGGCCATCCAACCTCTGCTTAAAAACCTCCAAGGATGGAGAGCCCACCATTTCCCAGGGGAGACCGTTTCACTGTCAAACAGCTTTTACTATCAGAATTTTTTCCCTGATGTTTAGTCAGAATCTCCTTTCTTGCAATTTGAATCCATTGGTTCAAGTCCTACCATCCAGAGCAGGCTTGTTCCCTCATCCATGTGACAACCCTTGAGATATTTGAATGTTGCTATCATTTCTCCTCTCAGTCTCCTCTTTTCCAGGTGAAACATACCCAGCTCCTTCAACCGTTCCTCATAAGGCTTGGAAGGGACCATGAGGGCCTCATAATACATATATACATACATATATACATATATGAATAACATGATGCGTGAGAGGTCAGGCATTGCAGAGGTGATGCAGTATGCCCATGGATACCCTGAGCTACTTTTCAAATGCCTGGCAGCCATTGCTATATCAGAAAGCATGTGGTACACTTGCAGTTCCTGCAAATGTGTGATATTCAGCACACACTTTAATATGTGCAGATCCCCTTCAAAAGCATCACAGAAAATAAATGGCTGACTCTTAGTGAACATTAGGAGACTCTTCATTTCTGCACTATGTGAAATAGTTCCAACAAGCAAAACATGCAGCAACTGCAGCCAACGGTATTTTTCAGAATTTTCCCAGTATCTCGGCTTCTGGTAGAACACTCTTGACAGCCTTTGCAGTCAATCCAGATGAAACAAAATAGTACCCATTAATAAAAAATAAGCTCCAAAGCCAATTAGCCCAAGTACTCTTTAGCAAAACTTTCCCAGGATTTGCATCTGGGAGAAAGAGAGTTCTTCGTGGGTACAGCTATACACATAAGAGTTCTCGACACACATTATAAGGAATGTTCACAGACTGGGGGCACAGCCTGTTGACACAATATTGCTCCCTCCCTCCATGCATATGATCTTTGTATTTGGCAGCCAACTCTATGCAACTGGTGAGACGCAGCATCTGCTTACAGTGAACTATCTATGCCAAAAACAATTTTAAAAGATGCAGCTTTCTTGCACCCAGGAAATTTATGAGTTATGCAAACAATTGGGGGTGGGTAGACCAGTTGCTGAAAAGGATAAAAAAATATATATCCCCAGACTTATTTACTTACGTATGCATTTTAGCATGTTCTTCAGCATGTGATGCCAGGATGGGTTTCAACATAATTAGAACAGCAACAATTGTAAAGCTATAAAGCGCAGACAAAAATACAACACTAGAATTGAGTCCTAGCTACACAAATCGCAGCAATGCCCAAGATTCTATAAACACTGAGGCAAACAGGTAGGTCTTTGCCTGGCACTAAGAGACCAAAAGCTTCAGTGCCAGATGTGTTTCCAGATATCCTCTCCAACTGGATTCAGCTACAAATAGATGAACCATGCGTCCAAATATAAAATGTGTATATATTCATTTGCCCAGGCTAGAGCATGGAAGGGAATGCTTGCTTCAACAATGAAGCAGCTCAGAGTGGGAGCTTGTATAGGAGCTGGAAGCTCCACTCCTTCCAGGCTCTCAGGGAGGCCCTGATCCAAGAAGGTTATTCCATGCACTTCCTTCTCTTCCCATGCTACCTCATGTGTTCTGCAGCTGAGGCCTTGAAACTCCTGCTTGGCTCACTCTCCCCTCTACTCCTGTGGCCCAGTCATAACATTTTACACAGTAAAAGCAACCGTTAGCCTGTCCCCCCACATTCTATCTTTTTCTCATGATCCGAGGTGTCAAAGACAAATGGTTGCTGGATGTATTGTGCCCAAGTCACTGCCACAGGCCTGTTTCTTCATGCTCAGCCCAGGTGGGAAAGATGGAACTAGAAGCCAAGGTCCTGAGCGGAGAAGGTATTTGTTGAACAGGGCTTCAGAAGGGAAGGGAGAAGAGGACAATGCTGAATGGGGAAGCTGATTTGGAGGGGTGATATTAGGAGTTCAGTTTGCTTCAAGAGAAATGAAATGAAAGGTAAGAGGTTTGAAACCCTCCTCCTTGACTGTGAAATTTAATGGACAGCAGTCAGTAATACTTTTATGTAATCCATCATAACCCTGCATAGTGCAATAGGAGATATGAGATTCAGCAATAGATTTTAACAGCAATGTTTACATAATATTCCAGTTAATTATAATAAAAGATAAATAAGAATCAAGGGACCATGAATAAAAACTCATCAAATACTAGAAAGATCCAGAGACAATTGGACTTTTTTATTTTAGTTTTTTATTTTCATTGGATTTGATTTGATATGTTAATTAGATGTTTTAATTGGAAAATTAATAAACACTTTTTTTAAAAAAAAAGAAAGAAAGATCCAGAGTCGAATTGAAACAAGAAAAATTGTTATAATCTGAAGTCTAAGTTTCTACTTTGGCTAATTTTGAAATGTGTATATATATATATATATATATATATATATATATATATGCAGGATTGATGTTTTGATATTAACATTCACCTGTTTTGATTGACATGAATGCAAAAGGTTTCCTAGATTCTATGACACATTGGCTGTCAAATTCTATCAACTGCTGAATGTCTGATGTTTTCAGCTATTGACATCAACTGGATACTAGCTGTCAAACAGTATCCAATGTTGCCACAGAAAGAAAAAAGGTGGATACCACATTAAAGAGAAATCTGACACCACCAGATGTTCCTAATTCAATCTACTTTTATCCTCTGCAATCTAGTTTCAAGGAGCAAGGTCTAATTCACTTTCACGCTGACCTTGGTGGTAAAGCAAGTGTCAGAGCAGGGAAAGAATGAATGCTCGTGAATAATATATGCAGCATTTGGGCTACCAGAAGGTTTTCCTTAATGTGGAAGTCATGTATGTGTCCCTATGTCATCCTTATTCTCCATCATCATGTATAATTCACTAAGCCACAAGCAAGAAAACACTTTCTGTTTGGGCTGGAACTAGCGCCTATCTCCTGAGCTCTTGATAGGAGCACACAACCTCATTTTTAAATGCACACCTCTTTTTTCTTCTGCAATGCCATTGTTATCAACAGGAAGAAGATACTAGAAACTTGAGTCTACAGCAGATATAGGAAGCCAGCTACACTTCTAGCTGGGAGGGTAGTAAATACTACATCCAGCAGAAGTGGTGGGTGTAGCACCCTGGACAGCTTCAGCTGCAGTGGTAATACTTAAGACTGAGACCTTCCTCCTCAACTTCTGTTTCAAGAGGGTTTGGGTGCCATGGACATCTGGCTCCAAATCCCTCTCACAAAAGTCTAGATCATGCATGAATAATCTTCTCTCAGAACCAATGAACTCCACCCTATGCCTTTGTTAGGAATCATGGTTTCAGCAGAAGACATAGCAGAAGAGATAAGCTCTTATTTACAAGTGCCAAGCAGACACCTAGCATTAAGTCCTTTCCAAATACAAGAACAGCAGTGCAGCATAGATGGTTTAAATACTATTTACAGTTTTAACTGCCTTCTCATCAAAGTGCAAGACTGTTCAGAGAGCATGTGAGCCCCTCAGTACGCCATAAATGGTGCTTCCAAACAGCATGCATGACTTTTCTCTGCTTCCGTGCCGAGGCATCTGAAACAGCCAGCTTGGAGTCAACAACATTTTATGCTGCCAGAAACATTTGTGTTACTTCCAATTAATCTGTGGTCGAGTAATTGGAGAGTGAAAGGAGTGGATGTCAGTCTAGTTATAATGCTGTGCCTTTATATTTAATGAGTAATGAGATCTGTCATATCTACAACTACCAATAGGAGGGAGACAGCTGTGGTTATTAGCTACTTATGAGAATAAAGCATATTTACTAGTAAATCCTCACTTAAATCATTCCTGTTTCCAGAAATTACACTCTCCTTATTATTAACACAAATGACATGGAGGTCACATGAATGCTAAGGGTGTGTAAGGCCATCATCATTTTTTCTCAGAAGGAATTTTGACAGTCCATCCAAGCTGAACACTGCTAGTGGCATATTTCCCCACCACCACCACACTGTTCTAGATATGAGCAGTTCCCAATACTGTTTTCAAGCTTAGAGCAGCTGAAGAGATCAAACTGAGGTCTCCCCAACCAGTTAGCTATTTGCATGTGTGGGTGGTGCTATTTTTCTAGAAAAAGAGGTACCGGAACTCACCATGAGTGCCTCCCTTATTCTCTTATAATGGCAATGGCGTACACCTGGGAGGTGTTGGAACTGAGTCCCAGGGAGTTCTGGCTCAAAAAGAGCCCTGGTGCTAAGTACCCAGGCAGTGTGGAGACAAGTCAATGACCATGAGAGGCAAACACCACGCAAATTAGCTCTCACCCCATGTATAATTAAATCACAAGGGAAATGTGCTTTGTGTAGTGAATTGGGGGTCTGGCTTCTCCGAATGAGCTTGGTGGATATTTCTCAGGAGAATTCTAGTTCCTCGAGAGTGTGTTAGACCAGACTTTGGGTCCATGGCCTCCCCAGTTTATCAGAAGCCATGGCTGGTGCTAGCAATTGGGAACGTTGAACAGTTGCTGAGATCCAGACCAATTTGGGGGTCAAACATGCCAAGAGCCACTGTTGTTGCTTCTGGGACACTCTCTCAATTCCATGGTGACATGGCCAAATCACAGGGAATGATTGCACAGCTTCTTCTGTCATACCCCGCCCCCCTCTGAACAGTACTTCAAGACTGCAACAGAATGAGAGGGGCTCACTGATGTTATCCTGCCCAGCATATCACAAAACCTGGCACTGTAGATCCTGTTGAGCCTCACAACCCCAGCCTCTGTTGTAGCTCTTGCTTCAGCCATAGGAAACCATGTTGATTCATTCATATTGTCATGGCTTGGCTTTAAAAGGGTTAACCTAAGCCCTGCCCTTGTAAAGGCTGGAGTGTCAGCATTTTTTTCTGCCTTGGGCTACTGGAGCAGCTGAGCATCTGGAGATCTGAAAGCCCTTAATTCTTCCCCTCACACACACCATGTTGCCATTCTGCAGTTGGCTGGTGCCTGTGTTTTGTGTATATGTATGCGGCTGACATGGATCATTACACACTGTAACCACTCTTTTGAAACCATTACAAGATCAATGCCGAGCTGGTTCAAGGATACTGCTAGGTGTTTTGATTGGGCAGAACCTTAGTGTGCTTTGCTAAATGAGGCACAACAGTATGGATTGAAATTGGGGAAGGTGGAATTAAAACTCACCAGGAGCAGTAATAAAAGCTCTTGGGTTTTCCCACTCCTCGCCAGCCTTTATGATTATTATTTCTTTATAATGCTCTGAACATTTAAAAGATTTTTACAGGGTAGTCTGCCCTATGGTGCAGCAAATGTCTTGTTTAGTGGGCAAAGTTCCCAGACAAAAGCAAAAAAGATGCATTGGATATTACGGCTCTTCCTGCTTGCACGGTAAAAATGTCATCCCTGTCTACTATTCAGCTTAGCAATTTAGACCCCATGGTACTGGCAGCAAGAAAGAGGCCTTTGAAATTACCTTTAATTATGACTGTTCAGGCAAATTGTAAGTTGGGAAACACAGAGACTAATTCTTCACGTAACGTTTAGAAAAGCAATACTACAATGTGGTCTAGAGGATAGAAACAGAGAATTTAAAGATCTGAGCTCAGTTGCTATGAGATCCAGTGGAACTGCTACGTAGCTTTGGTGAAACCATTGTGTTTCAATCTGAATTCTCAACGTGCAAAATTGGCCTTATAACAATGGCAGGTGTGACAACTAAACATAGTTCGGGGAAAATTAAAACGTGAAAGTAATTGAACATGTTTCAGTTCATAGGGCTATAATTTTATGTGCACCACCAGGTAACCAGCTTCACTTTGTGGTGGTGAAACTCCTCCCCCCTCCTGGCAAATGTTCCACATGTCAAGTCTAAAATGTTGGTGTGGTATCACTCAAGCACACTTAGATATCTGCCCAGCAATCCATCTACCCACCCACACATACCATGCAACATCCTGTACATGTGTGTTTGTCATGAACCTATGGTGACTATTTCCTGGTTCATGAGAGGCAGGCAAGAGTACAGACCTGACTCTCTATTTTTTTTTTTTTTATAATTGATATTTATTAAGTTTTCAAAGAATAACAACAAAAGTTTCCAAAAAATTTTGAAAATACAAAAAACAAAAATAGTGCATAAACAACAAAAAAAAAAAAGACCAGCCGCAAAGAAAAAAAAGGAAAAACAGAAAAACAAAAATATAAAGTCCTTTACAATCTCTATTTACTTCCTTTCTAGAGTTCCTCCTCCTCCCCTCTCTTGTTTCTTAATTTTTAATTTTTACAGCAAATCCTTTCTGTTTTTTCATAACAATCTGTCATTACGTTTCCTTATTCTATTTTCCCTCTTGTCATATAAATACTTTAAAACTCATAGCTTATATTCGATATTTACCAAATTCTTACATCATTACCTTTTTTACGAATCATTAACCAATCCTTACTTAAGCCATGTAATTTCATTCAACATCCTTCAAACATTTATAAGCATTCCCAATATTAAAAAATAAAAAGGAAAAAATAATAAGTCAAATTCAGTCCAGTCAGCTTCCAACCCCCTCCCCTGGACCCGGGATTGTCAGTCCTTTTAACCTCAATAATCCGGCTCCTTAACCTGGTTGTCTCGTGTCCGAGGCCCTCAAGTCTCTTTCTTGCCCCTTTCGCCACTCTTGTTGATGATTCCCTTCCAGTCGTGGATACTCCAGCAAGAAAATGCTTTTGACTCTTTGCAGCAAGTCCATCCCAAACCCATTGCCCAAGCCAGACAACAGATAATACCACTTCAAATTTCCACAAAGCTTGGAGACTTCGGCTACTCCAATCCTCTGATAGCCTATCACTAGACTCGGAAGGTCCAAATAACCATATAGAGGGGGGTCGATCCATCCCCCCATTTCCAAATCTGACCACATTTCATCTTTCCGAATCTGGTTTGTCCCAAGTTCATTTGTCAAGTTCAAAGGCTGATCTCGCCCGTCCAAAGGTCCCTCCATCTCTGAAGCCTCCGTCACTACAGCAGGTTCATATGCTTGTATAGCCTTTAACTGAATTACATTTGTTTGCTGCTGTGCTCTGGTAACTTCCATCATCAAGGTCGTCTCCTGACGCATCTGGTCCAGCTGGGCACTTAGTTTTGAGAAACCTTCCAGGAACAATTGTTCAAGCCTTTGTACTAGCATTGTCCTTCAAGGTCAAAGAAAATTCTTTCCCACGACAATAGTCCAATAGTCCTTCTCTTTTAAACTCTCTGCGTTGCAATTTCACTAAATTCCACTAGATGGAAAATTTTTTTTTTTTAAAAAAGGAATAAAAGCAACAGCAACAATCTTTCTTTTTCCAGAAACACTTTATCCAAAATTCCCCCTTCCAAATTCAAGAGGCAACAGTAGAATCAAAATGTTACCCTTCTTTTAACTAACTGTCGAGCTGGATAAACTTCAAGACGTCAATTCTGACAGCCCGCTCCTGGTTCAGGGCGGTGGAAAATTGCTTTATTTTAAACTCACTTCCGCAGGATTGAAAAATCCAAATACAACCCCCTTCTTCTCCTGCAGTCAAAGGGGGGGTTCAGAAATCTTAGATGTTGAATTCTAGTTCTCTCAGAATTTAATTTTTAAGCTTTAGTATATTTTGTCTTTGCTTTCTTCACGTAACAAAAGAACGGAAGGCTGACTTCCTGTTTAGACCTGACTCTCTACCCCAGCCAGGGCCATTTGCTCTCTTGCTCTGGTATAACAGAGTGATGCCCCCTTGTTCAAAGGGCAGACCCCAGAGCAGGTCCAGGGACAGATCAAAGGTCTAAGCCCCCAATTTTTTTAATGGTGCCATCACAAGCAGCTTGGGGCATGTATGTAGAGGAATGGCATTGCCCTTTGTCTTCATGGCAACTGTCCTGGAAAGCAAAACAACTGTCCTGGAAAGCAAAACAACAACAGTTGTTGTTGTTGTTGTTGTTGTTGTTGTTGTTGTTGTTGTTTTCCTGATCAGTTGGTAAGGCTAAGTGCCAAGACACTCTGCTGATTTGTGTTTTTCTTGTGGCTCCCATCCAACAGGTTAGTCCAGTCCCATCTCACATTTTGGACAATCGCTTTGTGATTCTAGGTATGCAAGAACCCATGGGGAGAATCTCAATTATACACACACACACACACACACACACACACACACCACAAACAATGTACAGAGATGAAACGTTTGGAATATAAAATGGGGGAAATAATAGGAAATGCAGTCAAGCTCTGGAAAGGCTTGCCTTAGAAGAAATCACACAAAATAAATGCCTGCTTACATATCATCACCACTATCAGATTTTGTCTAAATTGCAAACATCAATATGGTTTGATGTAGTTAGTATTATTATTTGTTAAATTTCTATATCACCCTTTATTTGAGGGCAGCTAACAATATAAAAACACAAAAATACATACCATAATAGCAAACCAAAACAATAACTACCACCCCCTGCCACACATACACAGTTTAGAAGGTTATATATTCTTTAATTTGCCAAAGCCCTGGGAGATGAGGAATGTTTTTGCCTGGAGCCTAAAGATATATATACAGGTGAGCCTTCCTGGAGAGAGCATTCCAGAAATGGAGAGCCACCACAGAAAAGGCCCATTCTCATGGTGCTTTTATATGCTGATTGCGGAGTCCAGGTCGGTTCACGGTCCTTGAGGTGTTGCGGTCCTGAGCTATTTAAGGCTTTATAGGTCAAAACCAGCACTTTGAATTGAGAAGGTCAGCGGTTCGAATCCCCGTGATGGAGTGAGCTCCCGTTGCTTGGTCCCTGCTCCTGCCAACCTAGCAGTTCGAAAGCACGTCAAGTGCAAGTAGATAAATAGGTACCGCTCCGGCAGGAAGGTAAACGGCGTTTCCGTGTGCTGCTCTAGTTCGCCAGAAGTGGCTTAGTCATGCTGGCCACATGACCCGGAAGCTGTACGCTGGCTCCCTCAGCCAATAAAGCGAGATGAGCGCCGCAACCCCAGAGTCAGTCACGACTGGACCTAATGGTCAGGGGTCCCTTTACCTTTACCTTTACCTTTAGGTCAAAACCAGCACTTTGAATTGAGCTGCCAGTGGAGTCGGGTCAGGGTTGGTGTTATATGCTCAAACTGTATGACACCATTGAGCAACCTGGCCGCTGAATTCTGCACCAGCTAAAGTTTCTGAACCATTTTCAAAGCCATGGGCTCTCATCCAGTTCATTACCAAGGCAAGACAACAGTTCCCCATATGATGCAGATGTAAAGGAGAAGGAGAGCTGTGTGTAATCAGTATACGATTGCTGACAACATATTCCCAAACTCCAGATGGCCCCACTCAGCAGTTTCAAGCATATGTTAAACAGCATGGGGGATAAAATGAGGCCCTGAGGAATCCCACACTGAAGGCTTCACAGGACCAAAGAACACTCCCAAAGCATCATCCTCTGGAAACGACCATCCAAGTAGGACCAGAACCACCACAAAGCAGTGCCACCCACCTCTAACTCGGACAGCTGCTCCAGTAGGATACCATGATCAATGGTATCAAAAGCCGCTGAGAGGTTGAGAATTAGCAAGGACACATTTCCTCTGTCTCTCTCCCAACAGAGGTAATCATACACGGTGACCAAAGCAGTTTTTGTGTCAAAATTGGGCCTAAACTCTGATGGAAATGGATCTATAAAATCAGTTTCCTCTACGAGTGCCTGGATCTGGTCTGCCTACTCAACAACCTTGCCCAAGAAGGGGAGATTGGCAACTGGCCAGAAGTTACTGAGATCTTACGAATCCATGGAGAGTTTATTGAGAAATGGTTTTACCACTGCCTCCTTCAAGCAGGAGGGATGCGGGTGGTGCTGTGGGTTAAACCACAGACCCTAGGACTTGCCGATCAGAAGGTCAGCGGTTCAAATCCCCACGACGGGGTGAGCTCCCATTGCTCGGTCCCTGCTCCTGCCAACCTGGCAGTTCGAAAGCATGTCAAAGTGCAAGTAGATAAATAGGTACTGCTCCGGCGGGAAGGTAGACGGTGTTTCCGTGCCCTGCTCTGGCTCGCCAGAAGTGACTGAGTCATGCCAGCCACATGACCTGGAAGCTATACGCCGCCTCCCTTGGCCAATAAAGCGAGATGAGCGCTGCAACCCCTGAGTCAGTCACGACTGGACCTAATGGTCAGGGGTCCCTTTACCTTTACATTCAAGCAGGCAAGGGCCATTCCCTCCCACAAGCAGGCATTAATCACCTCCCTGGCCCAGCCAGTTGTCCCCTCCCTGCTAGTTTTTTATCAGTCAAGGGGGCAAGGGTCCAGAGCACAAGTAGTTATCAAAATGAGATAGCCATACTAGATTCCAATGCTAAATGTTTGGTATAAATATTAAAATGCAGATCTAACACTGAATATATATATATATATATATATATATATATATATATATATATGGCAGGGCAAGATTTGGCTGATATGCTTGTTTCAAAGTATTTGCTATATTTAGCTCACACAAAGCCAAAATTGGATTCTGAAAATTCTTTCCCTCTGGCTCTGCCCAAATGTTTAATTCTATGAATTGTTTCAAATTTATGGTATGAGCGACCTTGAGCTACTATAGAAAAGCTACATAATAAAGATACCTTGGTCAATTATCTCTCTCTGCTAAGTTCTCTCGATATAAAAAGTATGAATCACTGTGAATCAAGTTCTTCCCTGTAGAATTTTAATCAGGAAGGATGATGTTCTGTACAAGCCTTGTGCCTCCACTTGATGCTGGGCCATAACTCTCACAGTCCTTGACCATTTGCCACATTGGCTGGGGCAAACGGAAGTTGGATGCTGACATCTGGAGGGCACTAGGCTGTTCTATACATTATGGCTGAGCTCACAGGTTGCTGCTCTAACAGGAGATGGGAAAGGAAGCCCCCTCCTGCCTGTTTTAGGGTTCTTAGTGAAAGGCAGCAGGAAAGGCTTAAGGCAGGGCTTCCCAAACTTGGGTCCCCAGCTGTTTTTGGACTACAACTCCCATCATTCCTAGCTAGCAGGACCAGCGGTCAGGGATGGTGTGAATTGTAGTCCAAAAACAGCTGGAGACCCAAAGTTGAGAAATTCTGGCTTGAGGGTCAGACCTACAAATGTTTCACCTCATGTTATCCTCCTGTCAGGCTGGGAATATCCTGTCACTCACCCAGTTTAGGATATTCCACCATTCTCCAGCAGAGTTTCTCTTCTTCCAGCAAAGGAAGCGCCTCATGTATATGTTAAAGCCTCAGTAATAAAGGAAATTGTCACACAGTAACATGCCAGGAGAAACTAAAACAACACCAGGAGGCAAGGAGGACAGTTGGCCTCTCCAACTGAACTTCCCTGAACACCCGAAGGGAGGGGCTGATTCCGGAGCACAGCACAAAAGCCCCGCCCACCAAGATGACAGACATCCTGCTAATCAAATGAGGCCCCAGGGTTCTGCTTCATTGTTTCATCTCACGCTCTTCAGAATGCAAGAACTTTGCAAAGAGCAGTAGGCCTGCATCCTGCCACGCAGGAGCTGATTTTCAGGCACTCCTTAAGAATTCACGGAACTAGGAAAGAAGAACTTAAATATTGGATATACATTGTTTATTATATGTTCTGTATAAGTTTTTGTATTGATATTGTTTGCTTGTTTTCATTTCATTTTGTTAGTTTGTTTTGTTTGTTTTTGCTGTTCTTTACTATTTTTATGTTCAGTTGCTAAGCAGTTAGCTCCTTACCTCTCTCGCCCTGACCTAGCCACTGTGATCCACGTGATGGGCACCTCCAGACTGGATTATTGTAACTCGCTCTACGTGGGGCTGCCCTTGAGACTGACCCAGAAACTCCAGCGGGTGCAGAATGCCACGGCGAGACTCCTTACGGGGTCCTCGCTGTGGGATCACATTCACCCAGTGCTATACCAGCTGCACTGGCTCCCGGTGGAGTACAGGATCAGGTTTAAGGTGCTGGTTTAAACCTTTAAAGCCCTATACGGCCTAGGACCCTCGTACCTATGGGACCGCCTCTCCTGGTATGTCCCACAGAGGAACTTACGGTCTTCAAACAAAAACATCTTGGAGGTCCCAGGCCACAGGGAGGTTAGGCTGGCCTTAACCAGAGCCAGGGCTTTTTCAGCTGTGGCTCCAATCTGGTGGAACGCTCTGTCACAAGAGACTAGGGCCCTGCGGGACTTGACATCTTTCCACAGGCCTGCAAGACAGAGCTGAAATTGCTGAATTCTCTCTCTCTCTCTCTCTCTCTCTCTCTCTCTCTCTCACACACACACACACACACACCTATTTCCCCTTTTACGGATATGCTGTTGTGCATACTGGGGCCATTGTGAAGGCAGCAATTGGAGCTGTAACTGTATTAAGGAATTGTACCGAGTAAATGCAGATCACAATCAACTTGCAAACAGAATTTTAATTAAGTGCTGCCAGAAAACTGCAATAAACTCACCATACCTCATGTTTTATTATATTATTTCTATCTCTTTATCATTTGTGTGGCAGCAAAAGCTTTGGGGTTTGGCAATGCAGAGAACAGCAGTGAAATGGATACAAAAATAATGGCATAAATAATGCCACCATGGCTCCCGGGGAATAGGATAGTCTATAAATCTAAATAAAAGAATGAACAATATGGATGGCGATTAGAATCCAGTTTCTCCTACTTACTTTATATGCATTAAACAAGAAATGAGCTTGTGTTATCTCAGCCACGAATATGTAAAGAGAAAACACTCTCTCTCACTGTATATTATTTCAATACATTGATCATAATAGATACAGAAAACTTAAAACAAAGCAGCGATTGGGGGTGAGAGTAAGCATGTAAATGATACAATATTGTGGAATTACATAGGTGGTTACATGGGTAACAGGATCTCACCCAAACACCCTGATGAACAAGGTTTGTATAATCTTTCCCTGTCCTTTTAGTCTAGACCCATAAGTATTCCCATAATTCCAGGGCACACGGCAAATGTACTGTATGAACATGCCAGCCTGTCATCTGTAAGAGGGTGGCAAGCTTGGGCGCTGTTTGGACCACAGAACCAACAGAAGGCCCATTGCTCTACAGCACCATGATGTTCATTCCATTTGCATGCAGCACCCAAGGTTAGGTGCCTTGGAAGGAGGGTGCCTTGTCTGAGGGCCCATAGTTCTGGAGTTCATTGGCAGTGTGTCAAACTGAGACCTCTCTGACACAACCTTAGCATAGAAAAACATTGCTGCATGCATCCTGCTCTAGTAACGTTAGAAAGTCTGTGTCAAATGTAAGAAGAAAAAAGTCCTTTACTGAAACAGGATTGCCATCTAACTGAGGAGAGACTAGCCTGAATGTTTGCTGTTTCATTTCTGGTTTTGGAGCAGGAAAGCAAAGGGCGAAGTAGCACCTGCTTTTCTACCTTCCTTTTTTGGAAGGTGTATGATGAATAGACTCCTTTCCTTTATCACTCCTGTAAAGCAGAAGGTAGGCAAAAGAAATGGCTCAGCAAATAAAGATGTGGGAGTTGCCTGGTGTGCAACAAAAAAGCAAAGCTTCTACTGCTCAGAGGGGAGTCTGCACAAAGCTTAAGGGTCATTTTCATACATGCATGCTCATCACTCGATGTCAGCAACCTAAAGTGATGGTTTGCATGTGCTGAACAGCCTTCCCAGAACAACCGAGGCACAACATCAGGAAGAACTTTCTGGTGGTAAGAGCTGTTTGAGAGTGGAACAGACTCCCATGAGAGATGGTGGACTCTCCTTCCTTGGAGGCTTTCAAGCAGACTTTGGATGACCACCTGTCATGTACGATCTAGTTGAGACTCTTTCATTGCAGGGGTTGGAGTAGATGACCCTTGGGGTCCCTTCCAATTCTATGGTTCTATGGACTTTCTGTTACATCAACAGCCATGCTATAGAAGAGATACTGTCCTGGCCCAGAAGGTTTTGTTTACGTAGATTTCTTCTTGCTTCGGGCACTGAGACTCTGTGAAGCACAGCACTTGGAGGAGAGAAGCTTTCAGCGGCTCTGTTGGGAAGCTTCTTTAATGCAGCTCTTAAGCACTAAATCAGACAGATCATCCACCAGAGTTTCCCTTGCCAGCTAGGAAGATAGATTATTATAAGGAATTTAAACAAACAATTCCCATTGTCCATCTGGCACAGATCTTGAGAGCCCTACCTTGGAGCTGATTCATATCAACTTCTCAGCGTTAATAACTTGGAAATCTCTCATCTTATACAACCTCTTTGAAGTGAATTATTATTCATTTATTCTCTTTTCTGCCAAGCTCTCTGGCTGAGAAATACAGGATTGGCTGAGATAGAAGGAGGGAGGGCCCCCTACTTGTTCTTATTTTGCTCCCTATGTTTAGCCCAAAACCACATTGCAACTGAAATGGAGGATAATAGCACTGCAAAGTTTAAACTTCCCTTAAAATAGCTGTTTATAAATGAAAGAATGATTTCAGTTGCTGCTAGAAATTCTACACTCTTATCTGTCACAAATGCTTGAGCACAAATTTAGGATGATTGGTTACAATCTAGGGGGTGTCATGCAAGTCCATCAGCAATGTAGTCTCCAGCATCCTCATTTTTACTGTATAGTTCACAGTACTGCAGATGACACTTTCATTCGTTTGTATTAAAATTGAAGGTATTTAATAGACTATATTTAATATGCTACCAAGGCAACATGGGTTCTTGACAGCTAGCAATAATATAAAAAAACAAAACTTTTGTAAATATTTAAACCCACACAATTTATCAGCCAACCAATATGACCCAACCAAAGCCAGTAACAGCCACCAGACTCTCAGAAAGAACAAAAGAACATCTGTATTCTAAAAGACATCAACAGCTGGCCTCCCTAAACAGAGACGTCCTTAAAGAAAGTCCTATCCATGCCCCCTGCCTTGTGATCATATGAACTGTCCTAAGGGTAAGGGAGAATAATACATGCTCTTACTGTGATCATCATCCACCTATAAAACACTGATGTGAATGAGGATGGTGAAATGAACGGAAGGGCTCAGGAGCTCATGGTCAGTGATACACCTTCACAGGAGAATATGGTGTGTGCCCATTGCTGTATCCTGAAGGGAGACACCAACATTTCATATAAGCAGTTCTTTATTTGCTCCGTTTAAAGCAGGCATAGGCAAACTCGGCCCTCCAGATGTTTTGGGACTACAACTCCCATCATCCCTGACCACTGGTCCTATTATCTAGAGATGATGGGAGTTGTAGTCCTAAAACATCTGAAGGGCCAGGTTTGCCTATGCCTGCTTTAAAGATTTGCAAAAATTGTCATATTTGCCTGAGAAGGGACTTGTGGGATAAATCCAGCCTCATAAAGCAAGAATGCTTAGCTCTAATTAATGCATCAAGGGGTTAAGACCACAGAGTAAGCTGTTTTGCCAGACATACTGAGGTGACAATCCCTCATATGGGGAGCAAGGGTTAGCAAAGAGCTCTTTTTAAACTCTCTTCTACCACATGAATCTGACCAGAAAGGATGTCTGAGCTGATTGCTCCAAGCCCAGACAGCATGTTTTTAAACATTTTGCTCAATTCTGAAACTAAGTTTTACTACCGACAAAATTCAGGAAGCCAGGGACTGAATCAATGCAGAATCTGAGTGAATCTCACTTCTTTTCATCAGGACCCAGCACCAGTCATTGGCTAGGAGACCATGACTTCACTTGGCTTATCAATAAATATTGTTAATGCCAACTAAGGTAGCTCTAATGTGGAAAACATGACTAACCAATGTGGTGCTCTCCAAATGTTGGGCTACAACTCCTATCACCCCTGAACATTAGCCATGCTGGCTGGAGCTGTTGTCAAACAATATCTGGAGGGTACCACACTGAGTACCCCCACCACCACGTAAAACACATCCCAGAACACAGGGCCTCCTCCTAGTAAAGATCCCAGGGACAAGTGCATTTTGGCTTCCTTAGCTTGTGTAACCTTATTAGTAAGATGAATGCCAGTTGCTAACACACACACACACACACCCACACACAAATATGGTCTGCATTCTATTACAAAAAGTAATTAAGATTTCCCTCAAGTCACAAGCAGAACAGAAATGTGGTCAGGCAGATTAGAATCGTCCATGGATGCTCAATAGGCATTATGCATTACCATCTCTCACAGTGCCTCTGATTTACAGTGAGTGGTGGACAGCTTTTTGCAATTGTGATGAATAAATTGCTAAATCTCTGACCCAGATCACACAATCCTGTTCTCATCACTGGCCTTTTGCTAACTGGAGAAGCTACCACCCAGCTCACCCCAATTGATGGGGATAATGCGCACACCACAGCAGCAAGCAGCAACAGCAGCAGCATCTC